TTCTCTCTATCCGATCCCTTTAGAATGATCTCGTTAACCTGTTCCAGATGGTGCTACGGTCATTCCGCGACGCTCCGCAGCTTTTTTTGATTTGTTTATTTGCCAGAAATATTCAAACCTAACCCGTTTTAGAATTTTTGTTTCTTTTTGCTACAGTAGCCTAGCAAAAATATGTAATTTTTTAGTTTTTGTCATTTTTCTAAAACTATTTCTCGATTTTTACAACTAGTACTTTTACAACAAATACACTTCAAGTTTATTTCCGATTCAGGCCACCGTAACCTCAAAAATTCTATCAAAAAGGTTTGCTAGCCTACCTCCAGTTTCTCCCTTTTTTTCCAGGCTAGCTGCCTAATTGGGGCAACGCCCTAGCAAAGTTTCGAAAGATTTTCGAAATCCGGGTGAGGGGAATGAACCGGAACTGGGTGAGGACAGGACCACCCAGCCAGAGTTGTATGATATATTGCGCCCGACCGAAGCCCTACTTCAAAGTCATTCCCACACACGTCGCCGCTCTCCTAAAAAATGGACTTTGGGGGTGGCTAGATTGTTGCAGCTGTCAATTTGTCATCCCGGGCTCGTTTGAATCGAAAAGTCGCTCATATGTATAATTTTGTTACCGTAACCGGGGTACGGTAGCGTAAATTTATGTAATATTGCGTACTGCAGCGTACTAGGATGAGTGGTAGCTTACTGTAGCGGACTGAGGCGGACGGTAAAATACTGTAGCGTACCACGATGGGCGGTAGCTTACTGTAACGGACTACGGCGTACGGTAAAGTACTGTAGCGTACTACGGTGGGCGGGTGCTTACGGACTGAAGCGTACGGTAAAGTACTGTAACGTACTGCGGCATACTAAGCTTACTGTAGGTTATAGACTGTAGCGAACTGGGTTCTAGGATAGCGTCCTGAAGGGTACTGTAGCGGAGTGATGTATACCGTAGGCGGCGCTCGGATGTACTGTAGCGTACTGAAATGCGTCAACGTGTAGTGTAGAGTACGCAATTGTACGGTGACGCGTTGATATGTACTTTAGTGCACTGCATGTATCAAGGCGTACTGTGGCGTAATGATTTTCACCATACCTTACTACCAAGGCGTGAGGTGACGTACGAACGTGTACTAAACCGTACTTTTGCGTACAGTAGCCTGCTAGTGTGTACGAAAAGTGCGTACAGTTTTCTGTGTTTGAACATGACATACCGTAACGGAACTAAGCGTACACTTGAGTACGTTATGTACGAAATACCTTAACTGATTCTTGTGCCGCTTGGCGATGGCCGACTGTAACGCTTGGAATCATACTGTAGCCTTTCACGGTGTGGCGTAGTCTAGCGTAGTGTAGCGTAGTCTCCCTACCGTAGATTTCTCCGAAGCTTAAGGGCTAATTTTTGAAAAATTCTTTTAAGCTTTTTTTGCCTAAAACGTGCTCCTTTACCCAATACCGGTCGGTGTAAATCTGCCCCGGGCGACCTGTACCCCCTGGGTCCATTATGTCCCATATTTGCATACCGGATTTGCGGGCCCTGCGCCCTATATTATTTGGCCCCTAAAAGGGCCCATATTTGAATGGCAGCGATGACCCGTCGGATTGGGGGGCGCTAAGTGTTTCCGGCGTATTCAGCACATTAAAACATCCTCTTGGTAGAAAGCAAAAACCGCGCTACAGCGGTGGCTCAGTCGGTAAAGCTTCAGAATGTCAAGATGTGGGGTGATGGTTCGGGTCCATCGGGCTTGACCATTTTGCTTTTTGACCAGTAAATTAGAAACAGATAGGCAAATTTGCTTTAAATACGTACCACCCCCTAAAAATCCAATTTTATCAAAAAATCTTGCAAAAATCAGGTTAAACTTTCACTTATGGAATAGCATTTTTACACTTTCTATTTTTTTCTACTTATTTATATTATGTTATTTTTACTAAGCGCAAAAACTTTACAAATTTTTAACAAAAACACAAAAAATATCGATTTTCGCGCAAAATTTTCAAATTTTAAGGTTTTTAAATTGTTTAGTTTCAATTTAGCTAATTTTACAAAAAAATATTATTAATTGTGTTTTACTAAATCGCTAAAAATTTACAAACTTTGAAAAAATAGGTCCCCTGATGATGCAAAAGCCCCATAGAATAAACAGAACGTCAGCCAAAAATGCGTATTTTAGGTTTTACTTTATTTATTACCTATTTAAACACTAAAATTAGAAATAAATAACATTAACTTAAATGGTTACGTAATTCCCATGCTAAAGATTCAAAAAGATTTATCATCAGCTTCAGATATGGTTATCAAATCGGGGCCCAAAATTCCCAGTCCATCAGCCCAAGCGGGGGAATTATTGGATGCTAAAGGGTGGGAATTGAGACTGCCGGGGATGTGTTATGATTATGGCCAATAGCCTCGGGCAATATGCGCAGAGTGACAAAACCCCCGCGAATGATTGTGGGTAGTATAAATAAACTCATTAAACGGGAGGAGTTGGTCTCTCTCTCTCTCTCGCTGCTCTCTCTCGCATGTGCCAATTCTCACGCTTTTGAACGGTTTATGATCGCTTAATTATGCGATCTGCACGACGGATCGGCTTATATAACCTGTCTTTTTGCTTCTTCTTCATTTCCATTGGACGTATTTCTAGCTAAATTCCTTCCGTTTCCATCCCTTAGCCTAATCCTAACCCTAAGAATAAGCCTAAGCCTAATCCGAAGTCTAACTAAGCTTTTTTTTTAGTAAGCCTCAGAATAATTCCAAGTCTAAGCCTAAGCCCTTGTACCCTCTCGTACTTACCGTGACATTTTGTAGCCTAACGTACTGACGCGTATCGCGACGTATTGTAACGTAGCATAAAAGCGTATTATAGCGTAATGCGTGGTTGCTTTACGGATCCGAATCCTAAAAACATTTTTTCTTATTCAACCCCAATCCAAACAATCATTTTGTTTTTTTTTCCAACTTTTGCTTTTGACCCAAATTTTTGGAGCAGCCGATAGATTTCAACCAGCGTTTCTGTTTGTTTCAAATTTTTTTTTATTCCCCCATTCCGCTTCGTTCAATCGGAAACGGCAGCCAATACAAATCGGCGGAAATGGAAAGAAAGAAAAATCCAATTTATTTTATTTTTCTCATGACTACACCTGAAACTACGAGAGTTTTAAAATTCTGATGCCATTTCTGAAATTTGTTTTAATCTTTTTATCGTTGTCTACTTCGAACGTGAATTGATCGAGTATTACGATAATTCACGCGGGCCCAAAAAGCCGATTGGCTTAAACAGTTCCTGCGTTTCCTCAAATCTTTTCCGTGTTTTTTAAATTAAGTTTTAAGTTTCCGTTTTAACGAATTCGCGCGGATAACAAATTTTCGATTCTCCAGATTTAGCTTTTTTATCTATATTTTCGATCCAGCATCTGCGATTTCTTACTTCTTAACCCCTTTAAATTCAAACTTGAAACTATTAATGGCGAAAGACCCGGTTTTCAACCACGCCTCCTGGAGATCCAGTGTTCAAGTGAAGCGACGGAACCACCTGCGCTAAAATGTGCCCCGGGGTATGTTGTAGGCCAAAATGGGAACAGGCTCCGACCACCTGTCCGTGTGAGTGATATCCGCCTGATAGGGGGAAGGCGGTATAAAAGGGGAATTCAACCACCTGATCACTCCCCAAATCCCCAATCCCCCGAGTCCACCGAAATCCAGAAATGGTATCCAGAATCTACAGCCATTTCCTCAGCTCCCCAGATTATTACGCTTACACCGACGACAGGTGAGGATCAAGGCCCTAGATTCCGCTAGGCTACAGTAGAGTACGTTACGTATGCTAATCTATGGTAGCGTACGTTACAGTACGATAGGCTCCGATAGAGTACGTTACAGTACGTTAGGCGACGACAGAGTACGTCACAATACGCTAGACTACGGCGAAGTACATTACAATACGTAGTGTAAATGCTTTATGCCAAATGCTAGTATTTCCACGCGTAATATTACTTCCGGATGTCCTGGTACCAGTAAGGTGGAGTACGTTACCGTACGCCAGACTAGGCTAGAGTAATTTCCAGTACGCATTGCTACGGTAGAGGATGTTACAGTTGGCTAGCCTTCGAGAGACTACGTTGTTTTACGCTAATTTACAGTAGCCTCCGGGAGTGTGTGCGGACCAGGGTTGTTCACCGATGGACCCGGATCGGTAAGGATCCGGATCGGATCTGGATCCGGATCCGGATCGGATCCGCAGTAGGATCCGGATCCAGATCCAGATCCGGATCCGCTCGGATCCGGATCCAATGCGGATCCGAGGAAAAAAGGGACCGGAAGGAATATTCTCGATTCTGATGCTGATTCGGTCATGTTAATCGCAAAAATACATCGCCTAGAGGCAGAACTGATCTTTGCATCTAAGAATTAGCACTTAACTCGGTTGCATGATCCATTTCCTTGGATCCGGATCGGATCGGATCCGCCCTGGATCTGGATCCGGATCCGATCCAGATCCAGATCCGGATCCAGTCCGATCCGAAAATGACCAACCCTGGTGCGGACTGTCCGTGTTCAGTACGATAGGCTACGTGCAGTACGTTACAGCACGCCGGGTTACGGTACAGTACGCTACAGTACGAAATACCTCTACCTCCTCCCACCACTCTAAATAAATTTTCATGAATTTCGCCCCCAATTCAGGGGCTTGTGATGTTCGGTGTATTGTAGCGGATGCTCCTTGCCAAAATGATCCTCCCCCATTTTTAGCATGACTTCACTCGACTGCCCCCGGATTTCCGACTCGGATTATGGCACATCCGTCTGCACATCAGGTAATTCACCACCTCTCTCTTTCTCTCGCTCCCTCTCGCTCTCTCTCTCTCTCTCTCTCTCTCTGTTTCTCTCTCACCGTAGTCCCCAAAATTTGCAAGATTCTGGCAAGTCGGAAACTTTCCGGATGACCGGAAGTATCAGTTGATGTTCCCGGTTTGCTAAAACCGGCTAAAAAGGATGGGGGATTACGATAACCCAGTGGAATTTTGATTTTTTTTTGGGGTCTAGGAAAATGGTTTTAAGACTTTCCAAAGGGTATGATACTTCCGGTGTCTGGGTTACTGTAGTTAGGCTCAGCTTAAGCTTAGCTTAGGTTTAGTTCAGGATTAGGTTGAATTTTTTATGGCTGACCCTTCTACCGTAAGCTTACTTCCAGATGACGAATCGTCTCGCTATTCGGATGACACGGATAGCCTTGGGCTATGCAGCTGGAAAGCCGAGCAACCGACAGCACAGACCAGCCGACGATCAGCCGGCCATTGCCCCGAATGCGGCAACATCTTCCACAAGGTACAGTTTTACAGGGAGCATGTCAGGGCACTGTCGAGGTGCCTTGAAAGCAAGCTATGGATTTGAGGTTTTTTCACCCAATACGAACAATAAGTTATGCTCTGGCCGGCCGACTCTGTCGATAGGAGCGTTGCGTAGCCTGCTGGATTGAGACGGTCCTAATTGGTCTTATCAGCCGGTGATCAATCTCAATTACCTGGCGCGTGAGCAGCAGCTCGTGCTTTCGTGATTGAGCGATAACTTAGGTGCTGATTACGGTAGCTGGCACAATGTAGGAATTCTTTATGCAAATTACGAACATTGAGGTACGACACCTATAACAGAAATTTACGTAAAATTTGGTTTAATCCTGATTTTAGCAGATTACCCGAAGCTAGGAAATTTTAAAAAAATTCTATTTTTTAGTTTCACATTACCATAATTTTTATAACCAACAAAATTGGTAAAAATAGGAAAAAATTTATCTATTTTAACTCTCTAGAATTTTTGAACGACTAAATTATACTTATAGTTTTATTCTTTAAAGATAGCTTATAAATTTAAAATATCGGCATTTTCTCAGAATTTTCGACAAGATTCAAAATGTTACTAACTTGCCTTCAATGTGTCGAAATTCATTTTGGCAAAAATTATTTTTTTTCGATATCTCGACAAAATCTCGACTTTTCGACAAAATTCGAATCCCATGGTCGGTACGCCTCAAAACTTTTGGGCAGCCTTCCGGCCAGTGGGTTAATCCCAGACATGGCAATCGGCCGGGCCGCGCGGCTTTTTCGGCCGCAAAAATTAGAATGCGGCCGGGCCGCGCGGCTTGGCCGCACTTCCGGCGCGGCCGCGGCTTTTTTCCGTTTTGAGGCCGCACGGCGGCCAAGCCGCGCGGCTTTTGAGGCCGCATCCAAATGAGTTTTGAGAACTTCCGGTATGCAAATCAGAGATGCAATGCGTATTTAGCCTGCTAGCGAGGAATATCCATACTCGACAGCCTTAATTTTCTCATTTCCATTCCGATTTGGCATGAAATTCGCGGTTTCTCGATATGTAAATGAGCCACTTCCGGTTTGCGGCTTGGCCGCGGCGGCCCGGCCGAGCCGCGATGAAAATGCGGCTCGGCCGCGAAGCCGCATTTCCGGAAGTAACTAATTACTGCGGCTCGTAGGGGGCCGCGTTTTTTATGGAAATTAGGCCGCCGGCCCGGCCGCGCGGCTCGGCCGATCGGAATTGCCATGTCTGGTTAATCCGTAGTGTCGTGTAGCCCTGAGAGAGGGGGCATTGACCCGTATATGTGATATGATGCGACATATCTGGGAGGGCATGTCAATAGTGGGGATTACATAACACAACCCCTTCCCCACTACCCAACACCCCCCAATTACCATAATTTTTTCGGCAAATAGGACAACCTGGGACTCGGGCAAATAGAACATTTTTAAAGGGGCCCGCAAGGCGGGGAAAACTCGGTATATCGCTCTCTCCCTATCTCTCTCGCTCTCTCTCTCTCTCCTTCTCTCTAAAACTATCAAACCCCCAAAAAATTTCGCAAAAATACTATGTGACCTCGTCTACATGGCAAATTGCCGAGTCTTATCTTGGGAGCCCATTCTAGGGCCAATTGAGCCAGGGAAATAATATGTTGTCCCTATTTACGACATGGCAAGCGAGAGAGCGAGAAAGAGAGAGAGAGAGAGAGAGAGAGAGAGAGAGAGAGAAAGAGAGATAGAAAGGAGTCAACCCTCAACAGCTTAACCATCCGCTCCAGCGGGGAAAATAGCCCTCGAAAATTGGGCTCGGATGACGTACGATGTCTCACTCTCCCTCTCTCTCTTTCCCGCTCTCTCTCTCTAATAGATGAGATTGTCCGTTACGCAACAATACACCCCGGCGCAATACGGTAGCAACCTAAATTAGGTCTCCCAGAAACCCGAGAATGTCCTTGTCCTCAGCGAGACTCACACTGCGTGTGGATAGTAGTGTTGCGTAATCATACTGTAGCACCACCAAATCCTGCCCCCACACTCTTAATTAGCACCTTTTAGCGCGCCGACCCGGAACAGCGAGATCGGGTGGATTCAAATAGGACTTAAAAATCTAATAAAAATCAAACAATTTAAAATCCGGTCCCCGAAGCGTTCGTCGTATAATTCGTACTTTTCGTTAGGTTGTGGAATTCCGGACACCGCGGGAATACCAATGACGCCCTCCCCCGCGCTGACCGGCGGAAAATTAGCCCTATTCAATTGGCGAGGTCTTGTAAATACGTAACGCATCGTAGTTTGGTAGTAGGGGAAAAATCTATAGGTAATTTTGTCTTGAATGGACCTTTAAGAGCGATGAGAATAGAATACGAAAGTTTTCCGCCTGGTACCTTGGCTGTAACGCCGTAGCGCGGCGTAATTTAGTAGCGGAGGAGAAATCCAAGCCACCAGACACTTCAAGGGCCCTTTAAACGGACTTGAGAGTCGGTTACGGTCTTTTAAAGTATTCTCAAACCCATATTTTACCAATTTCTGCCTCCTAAATAGGTCGAGTACGCGACGATACAAAGAACGGGGGGCCTCATTTGCATAGGAATGGGGGGAGTGAAGTACCCGCTTGGGGGTACACCTGCATCCCATTAATAGGCCACCCCCAATTCAACGCCCATCAATTGACCGTTCGAGGGTGGAGCGTAGCGTAGTTTTTTAGAGCGATCTGCCACCGGAAGTCCGATTTTGGAGGGGCAGTGCGAATCTTTGAAATGGGGAATTCCCAAATCCACAATAAATCCATAGCATAAAATTGAAAACGCCGAAATACCGATATTTAAAATACCGACAGCCAAAATCCCGACGTTTCGACGAAATTGAAGAGGAAAGCGTCGGTATTTTCGTTGTCGGGATTTCGCCTGTCGGTTATTTAGCTTGTCGGAATTTCAGCTGTCGGCAGCATTATGATGCGCGGCCAGAATACCGACAGCCAAAAAACCCAGGTGTAGGCAAGCGTTGGCATTTTAGCTTGCTGTATTTGGCTGTCGGTGTTATCGCTGTCAACGCCGGAAAGCATCGGCATTTTCACTGTCAAGATTAAGCGTGTCGGTATTACGACTGTCGGTATTTTGGCTTCTACGGTTTCGACTGTCGGTCTTTCGCTGTCGGTATTTTGGCTTGTCAGGTTTCGATTTTCGAGATTTCGCCGGTTGGGATGATGCCCGATATTCCAACGATGTGTTTTTTTTTTGTTATGCCTTGCCAGACCCTTTAAAGGGGCGCTCAAGGCAACACCTCAACTTTTCCAAGAATTTTCAGAAATTCTAACCCCTAAAAATTTTAAATTCAATTAATTTCCTCCGCCATTGTGTATAGTCCACCCGGCGCCAAATTACGAACGTAATTGGGCTAAATTCACTCCACTTTTTGCGAGCTACAAATTTTTGGTGGCCCGAAATCCGGGCCGAATCTCGGTGGCGTGCGTCAGCTGAAGCCCCGTGTTGGGACCCAGAAAATTGGAGTCAATTTCATCACTCGTTTTTTGGGGGAGGCTGTGAAATCAGTGTGGAACGTGATCTTTGGTGAATCATACGGTACACCTTGCAAAAACAATGCAAATTTTTGGAAAATTATCTCGGGAAAAACTTAAAATACCGAAGTTGACCGAAATTTTGAAATTCATAAAAATTTTGATCATTCATTTTTCATAATTTAAGAAAAATATTTAACAAAACTCGGCTCGTTCACAGTATCAATTTTTGCCTAGCCACTCCCTTTAAAAGCTTTATCTACAAAAATTACATAAAAAATTAAAAACATTTTTAGACTTTTTAGACGTTTTTCCTTAAAATTTGTCCGTTCCACCCAAATAACCCCAGCAAAATGTTGGATTCTTGATCTTCAGAAAGCTGCTGACGTTGCGACGTATTGTTCCGGAAATTATTCGCCGGGGAGCGGAAATATCGAGTAAACGCCCTGAAAATAGGGCCTCGTGCTCAGCAATTGGCAGCTTGCCAAAGCTTGCAGATGTAAAGAACCGTAACCAGAGTCCAAGGAGCGAAAAAATTCTGCAAATTTGCTAAAAATAACAGCAAAGTTATTGAAAAAGAAGCGGCCATGTATAAAAAATCGATTGTAGTAAAAATCAAAAATAAATTTTAATCAAGAAAATCAAAGAAAAGGTTTAAGTTCATTAAATTAAACTGATTTAACCAACTAAAAACTTAGATATATCAGAACAAAAAATTATTCTGATTTTTTAGCCCCTCGTGCTCCCCTGCGGCCACTCGATCTGCACGGACTGCTGCACGAAACGCCTTGCCGCTGACCCGGTCCATCGGCCCCCCGTTAAGAGGAGAATTCGGATGGGGTAAGGAATTTATAACTGCATAACCCAAAAATCAAAAAGCAAAAAATTTCCGAACCCGAGCCTTGCGCCTGAGAGCCGAAAGCTTAGCCAATTGACCATAAGGGAATTTAGCTTAGTGTATGTGAAAAGGAATTTAGCTTAGTGTATTGTATTTAGTGTGAAAAGCCTGGCCAGCTCGGCGTCGTCGAGCAGCTCCCTGGCCAGCTCGAGCGCCACGTCTTCTTCTGCTTTCCCGCCGTCCAAGAGCCCGGCTTGCCCGGAGTGCTGCGCACCGGCGAGATTGGTAAGGTTTATCTAGGCGATCTCCGTCGCTCGCTTGCTCTCTCTATCTCGCTCTCTCATCGTCTCTCTCGCTCTCTCTCTCGCCCTCTCTCTCTCACTTTCCCTGATTTTTTCAGGTATCCCCCATCCGAAACTTCGAGCTCGAACGCATCCTGCGCCTCCACTTTCCCACATCCGATCGTGTCTACGGCCACTCCATCCTACGGTACGTTATCCGGGAGTTTTCCGCAATACACCCTTTTACAGTAACTCGCCCTCCCGATCATCCGCTCCTACAGATGTCTACGTTGCGATTGTCGGCGCGCCTGGGGTTGGGAAGACGAGTATTGTGAGTTTTGGCCTTAAACATAAGTTATCCCGCAAGGATATCTGCTAGTTTTCTTACAGGCTCTCTTGAACAATAAAATTTGACTTTCGAAACCTTCAAATAAAAAAAATTTCAAGCGCAGGTGTTCGGATAGGCCCTTGGTGTATTGGTAACATTCTAAATTATCAGGCAAACGACTCGGGGTCAATCCCGTCAGCGCTGATTCTTTGCTTGTTGCGTAAAAATCACATTTAAATAGGTTTAAAACACACCGTCCCCTTTTCAGACGCGAACGCAGTACGGTAATGATATGACGGTGGAGGGGCTGTTGGCTGAAGATTTTAACCTGATGGTCGATATTTTGGATGATACGGTAAGTGCGGGGGGTCAGGATTAATGGCTCTCTCTCATATCTCTCTTTCTCTCTCTCTTACTCTCTCTCTCTCGCTCTCTCTCTCTCTTTTAAAGGACCATTGAAGGCAATATATCCCATTTTCCGTTCCAGTACACCGAGGCGAACCTGGAGCAAGCCAACGGGGTGCTCGTCCTCTACTCGGTGACTGATGCCGAGTCTCTCAACCATGCCGATCGAATGATTTCCCGGATTCGAGCAGAGCATGGCATTCAGGTACTGTCACTCCACTTTAAAGTGATAGGCAAGGACTATGGATATGGATTTTGTAGTTTTTTTAATGGATTTATAACTTTTATAAGTTATTAAATTAAGTTTAAAGTCTTAAATAGATTTTGAAGCTTTAATGTCCCTTAAAATTAGTTTTTAAAATTACTTAGGGCTATTTTTATCGGTCTAAACTATTTTTTCATACTTTTCATGATTAATATTAAAATGCAAATTCAATCGTTATTTTTGCAGACTCCAATCGTGCTGCTCGGCACCAAGATGGACGCCGACCGCAAGCGCGTCGTCAGCGAGTGTGAAGGTATGCAATTAAATGTATTTTTTGATTTAAAAGGTTTAAATGTAATAATAATAAATTTAAACTTTATTAAAAATCTACATTACGATCATTATAAATTATTTAAATTATGATCTATAAAAAATAAGAATTAATTTTTCCAGGCGAACGACTGGCCCGCCGCCACCGCGTCCACTTCAAGGAGGTGTCGGCTCGCCGAAATGAGGGCGTCAACGAGGTGACGATTTTTTAAAAGTTATATTAAAAAAAAAATTATTAAATTAAACCATTAATTAAATTATTTAAATATGCTAATATCCATCTCCCTTCGACGATCCTTTAATTTTTGGGGGGGGGGGGAGGGGGGGCTATAATTATCCCAAAATGGCTTCTAAAAGTCGGGACGAATTATCGGAATTCCCCCCCCCCCCCCTAACCTTCCATCCCCCCCGTCATTTGGAGCTTTTTGTAGTGATTTTTAGCAAAACGGCACGATAATTTAAGTCTTAAATAATCAACTGGAGCTACAACCATTTTAAAATTATAAGGTTTTTGCGGACAATACCGACGGACAATAAAATACCGACAAAACAATCCCGAAAACTAAAATACCGACGTGCAAAATTGCTGTTTAAAAGGAAATGGCATTCAAATTAGCGTCCAGAATATGTCGGTATTATGGTTGTCGGAATTTTGTTGTCGCGATGTTGGTTGTCGGGATTTTGGCTGTGGACATTTTTGCTGTCGAAAGTTTGCTGTCGGGATTTTGGCTGTCGGTATTTTGGCTGTCGGGATATGGCTGTCGGTATTTTGGCGTCAATGGCATTTTGCGCCTGTAAAAATCTCCCAAAAAACTGAAATTTCCTTTAACCAATTCCAATTCCCGCTGCAAATTCTCGTGTACAAATTTCCCATTTTCCTTAGCGCGGCGAAATTTTTTTATTCGCGCGCCTCCGCTTGGGCATCTAATCTATTTGGGGGGGGGGGGCTAATTTTGGGGGGATCCCCCGCATTGTGTTTTCATGATTAGACCCCCTGGCAGGCTGGCGCTTGCTAATGGAAAAGTTTTGTTAACCGGGGTCCCGAGTGGAATCAGCCCCCAGAAGCCCAAAAAAATCGTCATTTTCGGGGTGGCCGTTGTCTAGGTGGGGCGCGATTAGCACATGGATGGATGGATGGGTGGGTGGAAGCAGGTGACCCCTGGAAGAAATGAACAACAATGAGCAAGCATCACTATAGTCAAGTCATAAAAGTAGAAAAAATTGATCTTTCAACCTTTTAAGCAGAAACAAAAAGCTTGTCACTGCCGGGATTCGAACCCGAGTGATATTCCTGGCAAGTTAAAGCTTAACCAATCGGCTACAAGAAATTTTTCGAAGTTTTTTAATTCCAAAAATAGAAGAGCTAAAAATACTTGATCATGGGAACGCAATTTCTAACTTTTTGAGCAACAGGAAAAACTTGTCACTGGCGGGTCCGAAAACCCGGGTCCGAAGCCTGGTGGCCAAAATTAACAATGTTAACATGTCCAAGCAATCGAAATCTAGCTTCTGATCAAAAATCAAAAAGTTTGACCTCGGCAGGAATCGAACCCGCGCCACGTGCCTGGCAAGCCACAGCTTACCCAGTCGGCCATGCAAAATTTTCGCGAAATTTCCCAAAATCTCGCCTTTTTTCAAATCTTAATCCACCCCCTTGCAGGCCTTCGACGTCCTCCTCACCCAAATCGTCCGCCGTCAAGGCATGGAAATCAACTGAAAAGCTCGACCGCCGAGTTTTTGCTATTCTGCATCTTCTACCATAGCCTAGGCTCGCCTTCCGAGCCCGAATTTGCTGTTGTTCATCGTATTTTGATGCTCTGCACAAATCCCCAAAAAATTTTCCGAAGCTAATCCTCATTTTGGAAAGCTACCGTAACCTGGAGTCTCGATTTTTGTTTTTTTTTGCTTTCTTTCCGTTGCCTTATCGTCCTCTGCCTTCAATCCATCTGCTTACTGCTTTTTTCGCGTGGAATAGTCAAATTTTTGTGCGTCTCACCGATTTGCATGTGCATAAAGGTTTGCAGAAACAATAACTAGGTTTTGTCATCGCTTCGACAGCGCAATTTGGCTACAAAATAAGACAACACTAAGATAATTTACTTTTCTAAATATTTAGTAACAAAAATACCTTTATAAAGGCTAAAGCTATTTTCGGGCCCCTCACGACATGTGGCTAAATGGTAAGGCGCTCGGCGCCAGGCAGCACTACCCAAGTTCGACCCCCCTCCGGTGAAACCTTTTTGCTTTTTAGCAGAAAACACGAAATCCAGATTTTTGAGCTTCTGCGTCATTCCGTTTCATTTCGTCTTGCTCCCCTCCCGGCCCCCATAACAAAATTTATGACATGCAGGCGGATGGGGGGGGCTAATAAGCCCCGGCCGTTGCCTAAATATTTCTCGTGTGCCCAGGAAAACACGCGCATATTATGGATGGGATGGACGCCGAGAGCCGCATTTCCAACGGGAAGCCGCCAAAAAAATTTGATAAAAAATTTAGTAAACCAATTTTTAAAGCCGAGTTCGATGAAAATCGGGTCCTTCCTTAGCGATGCCTTGTACGTCTCTTTAAAGCTCTCTTCAAGACGTATTTCCATTTCTCAAATGTTCTCTGCTAGCTTGCCATTTACCAAAATACTGTATACAGTAATTTACCATACGCCAAACGTCACTAGCTTTATTTGCACACGAGCCCCCAGGGGGAGGAGGAGAATGAGAACGAGCAGACAATTGGGGAGGATGACAGGCGAATGGATGACTTTCCTTGTTGACGATTGATACGGTGGATGGAATACGGTAGTAAGGTATTACGGTAACATTAAACGGCTTTTTCCAGATATGCCAAGATTCAGATGATGCTTTAGAATTGGCGCAGGTGGGCTCAGAACTGGGGGCGCAACACTGACGAGCGGTCGCTGGCTGAAAAAGTGTTTATTAACGATTGTTCGATACCGGAAATAATAATATTACGATATTAATGGCTGCATTACGATATAATTATATGATAGAATTATGATAGATTTACTAGACTCTAATTTTACATGGGGATTACAACAGAATATCAGATTTTTTTCCAACCAACCGTATCCTATAAATAGTAAACGTACGGCCAGGGGGAACCGTCTAGACAAATTTCTTATAGATTCTAGCTTTTTGGCTTCAAGGCTAAGCCCAAGCCTAAGCTTAAGCCTAAGCCTAAGCCGAAGCTGAGCCTAAGCCTAAGCCTAAGCCTGAACCTAAGCATAAACCTAAGCCCAAGCCCACGCCTAAGCCTGGGACACCCCCGCTTTTTTCGAATATGGCCCTATTTCAATCCGAGTTTCCCCAATTCCACTTTCCTCCCCTGAGATTTTCGCATTTTCCAAAATCCATCAACTCCTCAATGTCACTAATTCGAATTTCCGCGAATTACCAAATTGCGTGGCGGTGTCCTTTTCAATACGCCATTACGATTCCCCAAAGAGAGAGAGAGAGAGAGAGAGAGAGAGAGGGAGAGAGAGAGAGAGCGAAAAAGAAGGAGTCAAGTAACCAAAAAATTCCATAAAAACCTCAAAGCCACTCACCCAACTGTCGCAGGGCGTTCAGGGCGACGTGGTGGGTACGGCCGGTGCCCCGGTAACTCCCTGCAAATTTAATGTGCGGTTACGGTAGCTGGGTCACGAGATAGATTCTTAAAAAGAGCGGCTCTTTCTAAAAAATTTCCATGCCCGAGCATCCCTCGGCGGGAGGTGAGGCAAAAAATGACGCTTTCCCATAAATTATTCCAGTTTTCTTGCAAAATTCATGTGCGTATCACTCTCTCTCCCTCTCTTTCTCTCTCCCTCTATCTCCCTCCCTCTCTCTCTCTCTCTCTCTCTCTCTCTCTCTCTCTCGTGTTCTAGCCTTTGAACCAGGAGTCCATCGACAAAAGCTCTTGCTCCAAAAATACACTCACTTCCAAACCGGAAAAAGTTGGGGTTCATCCCGTCCTCCGCCTCCAGCTGGTACTGAAAATCGAGGAGTTTTAAGGCATAATAAATTCTAAAACCTTAAGAGGATCTCAGGGGCATAAATCGAAAAATTTAGAAATGGCTACGCCGGGCTACCTTAGGCGTACGGCGGAGTGCTGCGTACGCCAAGTACGTGGGCTACGCAAAGCGCCAATACACGCGAAACGGAAGTTTTTTCGAGATCTTCAAGCTTCCAGAATCTCGTTACTTATTTTATTAAAGGGGCTCAGAAGTCAAAATTCGTGCGTGCGGGGGATTGAACCTATGGGTCAAAAAACGAAACGGTCACTGCCGAGAAGTGCCAAAAAAGCGATTTGATTGCGAAAAAACGTAAAATGTTTGAGAAAAACCGAATTCTTTTTCGGGCAAAAACGACATTTTGAGTGCGCGGCGATTACATGTCGTAATGCCTTGTAAGGCACCCAATCTCTCGATCTCGGTGATTCTCTGATCAATTTTCATAATTTAAAAGTCTGGAATGATCAAAATTCGTTGAGGAATCCAAAAATAGTATCAGAATTGTGAAATTCAAGCGTTTTCGCGTCCAAACAGGGGCAAAAGATCATGCGGCGCGGTCGCGTTGTGGCTGCATCTGGCTATTTGCCAGGAATCACAGCAGGGGGGCCGTGGACCAGATTTCGGAGCCCCTTTAAATCCAGACAGGAAGCTAATTCGCCTGCAGCGCCAGACATTATGATTCACCCCCGAAATTTCGCCCTTTCATACCCTAAAAAATCCCCGAAAAAGTTTGAATGTAACGAGGCTACGGGGCCCTCCCCAGAGGGAAAAGTCCACAATTCCCCAAATCCAATTATTTGGATGCCGGCCAAAATCACGGGCCCCCGTTCCGCTGGGCGCCTAAATACATAAGCAAAGGATGGGATGAGGAAAACATCGCGCTGCAAAGTTTTTATGAGATTTCCAGGGGTCAATGGGATAGCTTCCGGAATTTGGAAGCTGGAAAACAATCCAGAAAAGCCCAAGCAAAGCCTAAGAAAGCCGAAGTTTACGCCCAAGCCTAAGACGAAGCCAAAGCTAAGCCTAAGCCTGAGCCTGAGCAAACGCCAATGCGATGCTAAGCTTACCTAAGCCGAAACTGAAACCTACGCCTAGGCCCCAGCTAAGCGAAGCTTCAGCCTAAGCAAAGGCTACGCCCAAGCCCAAGCCTAAGCCTACACTTAGTCTAAGCCAAGACCTAAGCAAAGCTAATCTAGCTAATAAAGGTAGGGTGCGATTAAGGAATACCGCTCTCTATCCCGAAATTCTGTATCCCGAAACACCCAATCCCGAAATTCTGTATCCCGAAACTCCCAATCCCGAAACTCTCTATCCCGAAAACTCTCTATCCCGAAAACTCTCTATCCCGAAAACTCTCTATCCCGAAAACTCTCTATCCCGAAAACTCTCTATCCCGAAAACTCTCGATCCCGAAACTCAGTATTTTGCGTTTCCTAACGCCCTACATCCTTGAAGGCATCGGAAAATCATTTTATCGAATTTCCGAAAGCGAAAAATAGCGGAAAACTATTTACTTCAAAGATCTAGTCTGGTGTTCGGTACGTTAAAGCTAGCTAACTTGTTTCGGGATATGGAGTTTCGGGATAGAGAGTTTTCGGGATAAAGAGTTTTCGGGATAGAGAGCTTTCGGGATAGAGAGTTTTCGGGATAGAGAGTTTTCGGGATAGAGAGTTTCGGGATAGAGAGTTTCGGGATACAGAATTTCGGGATTGGGTGTTTCGGGATACAGAATTTCGGGATAGGGGAAATACCCCGCGATTAAGATACTTTTAAATTACCATAATTTTTCTGGCTCTATTTCGAAACAACCCTCTTTCGTCTACTGACTTCCTTGCTATCTTGTGACCTTCCCGAACCCACCCAACAAAAGCCGAGGCGCTGAAAAATTCAGGGAAGGGCAAATTTTTCTGGGCTTCGACGCAAGAGCTTTGTTAAAAATTTTTAGGTTTTCTCTGCAGGACCCAGAAAAATTGGACATATTTTTCGTAAATTTTTGAAACTTTTTACGACATTCTGCTTTTTGCGGGTTCTAAAAATCACGTCAATAGATTATTTATAGTTTTTTACGACCGCCAAACGCAACGCCGGGTGCGCTTAATTACATAGCGTAATCGATTCTGATTGGTTCCCGAAGGAGGGGCGTTCCGTGTCGCGGACGCGGCGAAACCCTTAGGCAACCTGTGGTCGGTCTTACTATAGCTTTCTCCACCGTAATTTTATGATACATATACAAAATAGGCATCCAAGACCACCTTATCTCCTCTACAAGGACATGCGATGTGTTTTGGATGCCCTCGGACATGACGAACCCCACAAAAAGCCCAGAAACCCCAGATTCAATCCGCGCACCTCAAAAAACGCGCGAACAAAAAGAGTGCGAACCCCTTGTGGATTCAATACCAAGGCATAATCCAATTCCACAAGTCCTTCTCACCCCCGCGATGTAGGTCTCGGCTCCCCGAAAACCTTGCCCCTAACAAGCGCCCAAACCGCCGGCCGACACGCAATGCGGAAGAAGCAAAATTGAACGCAAACGGCTGTGGGGAAAATACGTTGATTAATTGTGCAAATTATTACCGGTTCCCGCCAGACATCCGGCTGCGAAAAATGGGGCTTTCTTTTTTTGGCCGGAAATCTAGACTCTCAGGAGCTCGTCTTCCCCGTCAGACTTCCCTGCGCTCGCGCGAAGAGTGTCAATTTTCAACGTTTTTCATGAAGTGCTATGGCCCTTATATCATAGAAATGGCCCAATTCTTGTTATTTATTTCGTGGGGGCTTGAAAACGGCTGTATCCGGTTGCGTAGAGCTGATTTTTAGAGCAAAATATATATTTTGTTGGAAAAATAATAAAATCGGACTTTTCAAAATCCTCTCAAGCTCTCGAAGCTAAAACAACTAAAACTAGACCGTCCAAAAAACTAGTAAACCGAGAAAAGCCCAATTTCCAGATTCACAAGCTAAAGAAACCCTTTCAGAACTGACTATACCTAGGAACCCAAAATGACACCATATTTTTGCAAAGCTCACCTCGGCAAAGACGGCCAGCGCGAGGAATAGAGCCAACAGCAGGGTGCGGATCATCTTTTCGTGCTACTGTAACGAGGATCCGGGGCTGATGAATATATCCGAATGTGGCCACCGTCCCGCGCCAGACGCCTTTTATGTCAATCCCTCCAGGCTGGGCCCTCGGTAGGGGGCGTGGCCCGAGCCTGGCGGCTTTTCCCCCCGGGCCAGAGTCCCAAAATTCCCACACCCCAAAGCGGCTAATCATTTGTCGGGATGAGCCAAATATTTTGGGCAACGGTCAGCCACGAAGCCTCACACGGCTTGCAAACCAAAACTTCCAGAAAATCGACAAGTGCACAACGGGGGTGACTGGGCGGTAGCAGGCTATGAGACGCTCCGCTCGTAATTCGTTTTCAACTTCAGCCTAGACGTGACTTGGTAGCCTTTCCATACCATAAAAATAAAGTCAACGCTTTATCCGGGGGTAGGACGGAGATGGGCCGGAACCGGGATGAAAGAGAACACGGGTAACACAAAAACCTAAACACCATAGCAGCGCGCATAAATCCGGGTATGCATGGAGAGGGCGCGAACGGCAAATTGCGAGGGCTGGGCGATGACAAAATTAACGGACAAAGAATAAATATGCGAAAAGGCAGGGGCGACGGGGAATGGTGGGAGATCAAAGGTTGTTGAGCTTGTTCAACTTCTTCAGCTTCTCGTCGATTTGATCTGGAAAAGGGAGGTGTGGGCATGAATGGCTGTAGTTAATTATACAAAGCACCAATAGGACCGCCCGGCGGTCGGCACGCATCAAAGCAATACGAATTTTGAATTCTCTGATCAAAATGACGCGCGTGACCACTGAACTGTAAAATGTAAAACAAAACCGTTTTTTAAGCCAGACTTAAAGCAAGTAGTAAATAAAAAAATTTTTAAAGCAAGAAAAACATACCGCCAGCCTTGTCCAGCCAATGCAGAGTGTCCAAGTGTCTTCCCAACACGAGCGCCAACACCTTCTCGTCCTCACCGTACAGCGCCTTGTTGTTCCGCTCCAGCAAGTCGAGCGCCTTCAAAGAAATGCGTTCAAAGTCATCAAAAACAAAATCCAACCGTTCGCTCGTTGGCCTTGGCCTCGTGCTGCATGAAGGTGACGTGAGAGGTGAGGGCGATCACTTTTTGGTGCCTGCAAAAATAAGTTGATGAAGGGTAGAAAGTAAGTTTTCACCTAAAAAGTTTGCAAGAAATGGAACGGAACTAGTTCCAGTTCTCAGTAAACTACGGTCAAAAGGTCGCCTGCTCTTTGTCACGTTGCGGAAACAGAGGGCCCTTTCTGGACCAGGATCCGGAATTTCCAAGGCGCTCTTGAAAGAGCTACCCACGCGCCTCGCAACAAGGTCGAAGAAGATTAATGGCCAGAATTGGTACTGGGTTTGGGGAAAGATCCAAGAACAACCGAAAAGTCCCGCGTCATTGCCGAAACACGAAAACGCAGCGCTTTCAAAAACAACAAGCTTACATCTCGGAGCGCTTCACATCGGCGGCTGTCTTTGCGCGCGACTGGTTCATCATCAGATCCGTCTCATAGGGCCAAGTGCCGGACCACGGGGCGAAGCCGAGCTTCTGCTCACACTCGTCCAATTGTTGTTCAATGCCTGAAATGGATGAAATATTGCCGTGAAACAGCCGAAAATTTTTGAGTAGCTATGTTGCGCTCAAAACGTACCACCAAGCTGATTGTCGATGAGTCCCAGCGCGTACTCCATCTCTTGCGCCATTTTCTCCTGATGTTCGACTTCCTTAGCGGCTTTCGAGAGCCTAAATAAAATTCACAAATATTACCGCAAAACGCACTCTTTTTCGTTGCTACGAATCACCAAGTCAAGCGAATTGACCGAGCCGAGCATGCCATGGAATTTCTTCAGGTTGCGGTCAATTTCCTCGACGGCCTAAGAAGATATATAAAATTTGTATAAATAGGATACCATATTGACATGTGTCTCAAGGGTGGACATGGTGTTGCGCTTGTTCGGGTCGAGGCAGCCGTAAGTCAGAGCACTGAAAAAATCAAAGTCGTGCAAAAGAGGCAATATTTGTAAAAAAATATGATAAAACCAACGGTTCTTGAGCAGGAGTCGTGCTAGTAGTTGGTGGCATACCGAAGCTTCTAGCGAGCGGCTTCGGACCGGGCGTACCGGACGTAGCCGCAGTGGTAGGCGTGCCAAAGAGTCCTCCCGCAGCGGGAGCTGATGAAGTGGCGGGGGATGCAGTCTTTCCAAGCGTCAGTCCGCCGCCGACTGAAATTTATAGTGTTAGTTGACAGGAATTTCGCCCGCTGAAAACCCTAAAATAATAGGAAGCAAGTCACCAACCAGTCGCCGGAGCCGTCGAGCCAAATGAAGAAGCGGGGGTCGTCGGAAAGACCGGTCCAGCTACAAATGAACATACTGTTACTCTCTATCACTACTCACATCCAATTGAGGTAGCAGGTGTGTTAATGGCCGGAGCAGGAGTAGCGGCAGCAGCACTGACTGGTGCTAAAAACGCTCGTAGGTTCTCAAGAAAGTAAAACCTGTGGTAGTGGCAACTCCAAAAAGGCCACCGGCTGGTAAGGCTGTAGACGCTGCAGTTGAGGTAGCTAAACAACATAATAAATTCGTAGCCATGTCTAACCAGTAGGAGTAGCCGTCGAGCCAAACAGACTGCCGGTTGGCAAGGCAGAAGCTGTTGAAGTCGGGGCAGTAGCTGTAGATCCAAAAAGGCTACCGGCTGGTACGGCTGTAGACGCTGCAGTTGAGGTAGCTAAACAACATAATAAATTCGTAGCCATGTCTAACCAGTAGGAGTAGCCGTCCAGCCAAACAGACCGCCGGTCGGCAAGGCAGAAGCTGTTGAAGTCGGAGCAGTAGTTGTAGATCCAAAAAGGCTACCGGCTGGTACGGCTGTAGACGCTGCAGTTGAGGTAGCTAAACAACATAATAAATTCGTAGCCATGTCTAACCAGTAGGAGTAGCCGTCCAGCCAAACAGACCGCCGGTCGGCAAGGCAGAAGCTGTTGAAGTCGGGGCAGTAGTTGTAGATCCAAAAAGACTACCGGCTAGAAAAAATTTCTGATACGTCAAGCCGAAAACCTGTGTTGGTGGTGGAAGCAGTAACTTGAGCTGTCACGGCAGGAGTACCGAAGACTGACTGCCCCGCGGCCGGAGGGTTGGCGTTGAAGAAACTCATCCTGAAAGAAAATCTAAGTACGGAAACACGGCGGAAATCGTTGCGAATCAGAAGAGAGATCAGGTTGATGGAATTCGTAAGCCTGGCTACAAGAAAAAGAGCAAGAGGCGATAATTAAAAGCGCTAAAAATCCTACTATATATAAAAAAGTAGTGTCTGTGTGTGTGTGTCGATTTGCATGCAACTTCCGTCTGTATGTCCGGAGGATAACTCAATAGGGGATGAATATTAGGGTATGTATGATACATCATTAGGTGCGTAATGGCTCTGCGATGACTGCACGCATAACAGAATTATCGAAATACGCTATTTTCGATATTAAAAATAAGTTTTTTGTAAAATTTTCTAGAACCCTCTTTGGTAGGAAACAATTAGCGTATACCGGAAGTAGAAGAAGCCTATATAAAGGGATGGAAGGAAAGCTTTTCATTTCTGTCAGCATGATTGAGGCGGAATTATGCAAAGTTTACAGTTTCATTTGTCTAAACGGGGCCAGGGTTGAAAAGTCGCGAAGCGGCTTTTCAACCCTGGTTAGAATGAATCTATTTGCGTCAAGAAAAATTAACAAAAACAAAAAAATTATGATAAAACCAACGGTTCTTGAGCAGGAGTCGCGCCGGTAGTTGGTGGCATACCGAAGCTTCTAGCGAGCGGCTTCGTACCGGGCGTACCGGACGTAGCCGCAGTGGTGGGCGTGCCAAAGAGTCCTCCCGCAGCGGGAGCTGATGAAGTGGCGAGGGATGCAGTCTTTCCAAACGTCAGTCCGCCGCCGACTGAAATTTATAGTTAGTTGACAGGAATTTCGCCCGCTGAAAACCCTAAAATGATAGGAAGCAAGTCACTAACTAGTCGCCGGAGCCGTCGAGCCAAATGAAGAAGCGGGGGCCGTCGGGAAGACCGGTCCAGCTGAAATGAACATACTGGTACTCTCTATCACTACTCACATCCAATTGAGGTAGCAGGTGTGTTATTGGCCGGAGCAGGAGTAGCGGCAGCAGTGCTGACTGGCGCTAAAAAACGCTCGTAGGTTTTCAAGAAAGTAAAACCTGTGGTAGTGGCAACTCCAAAAAGGTTACCGGCTGGTACGGCTGTAGACGCTGCAGTTGAGGTAGCTAAACAACATAATAAATTCGTAGCCATGTCTAACCAGTAGGAGTAGCCGTCCAGCCAAACAGACCGCCGGTCGGCAAGGCAGAAGCTGTTGAAGTCGGGGCAGTAGTTGTAGATCCAAAAAGGCTACCGGCTGGTACGGCTGTAGACGCTGCAGTTGAGGTAGCTAAACAACATAATAAATTCGTAGCCATGTCTAACCAGTAGGAGTAGCCGTCCAGCCAAACAGACCGCCGGTCGGCAAGGCAGAAGCTGTTGAAGTCGGGGCAGTAGTTGTAGATCCAAAAAGACTACCGGCTAGAAAAAATTTCTGATACGTCAAGCCGAAAACCTGTGTTGGTGGTGGAAGCAGTAACTTGAGCTGTCACGGCAGGAGTACCGAAGACTGACTGTCCCGCGGCCGGAGGGTTGGAGTTGAAGAAACTCATCCTGAAAGAAAATCTAAGTACGGAAACACTGCGGAAATCGCTGCGAATCAGAAGAGAGAACAGATTGATGGAATTCGTAATACTTATTTCCATTAGCAGCATTTTTTGAGTCGTCGGGCAATTGGTGACACTTTCAAATTCGGTCCCTTCTCGGTGCCCCGGTCATGAAATAGGAGGCAAAGCAATAAGGTGCCCCGTTCGCCCCACGGGGAAGCCTGGCTACAAGAAAAAGAGTGAGAAGAGGCGATAATTAAAAGCTAAAAATTAGAATAAATCTATTTGCGTCAAGAAAAATTAACAAACGGAAAATGACGTTTTTGACTAAAAAATCAACTACAAAAGATGCCCATCAGCATAAGAGCATTTTCATTTGTCCAGTCTGCAATCCACTGGTCTTCATATTCCTAGCTATTCGAGCGCCTAGTGCTAAACGTAAGTTGTTTGGGTTGCAAAAACGAGCTTCTCAAGAAAAGTCGTTTCGCCATGTGGGACATGTTGACGACGATCTTCTGGTACACCGCGCTGCTCGTTGCCTCGGCTGGTACGGCCCAATGGAAAGCAAAATAGAGGGAACTTCAATTTAGCCGCCCTTGTCGGATGTGGTGGTGGGAAGAAGCCGCCGCCAGCTGCCGCTGGAGCCGGCAAGAGCAAAATGGCACCCCCACCAAAGAGCAAGATGACGTCGGCCGCCCAGCCTCCAGCTCCAGCTGCTGCTGCTGCTCCAGCCGCCGCCCCAGCAGCCGCATCCCCTGGTGAAGGAGAAAAGAAGAAGGAGGAGGAGGCTAAGCCTGAGGAAAAGAAGGAGGAGAAGGAGGGAGAGAAGAAAGAGGAGGTAAACTTTTTGTAAGCGTCCCCATCAAACTGTATGGACCTGAACTTTGGAACCTTTTAGGAGAAGAAGGAAGAAAAGAAGGAAGAGGAGAAGAAGGAGGAAGAAAAGAAGGAGGAGGAGGGCAAGGACAAGAAGGAGGGTGACCAGAAGGAGAAGAAGGAAGGCGATGGCAAGGACGCCAAGGACGCGAAGGAAGGTGACAAGAAGGAGGAGGACATCAGACCGAAAGCCATGAAGCGCACCGAGAAAGAGGTGCTGCTCAAGATGCTTCATGAGATTTTCTCCTAGGAAATGATCGCCAAGCAAAAGATGACGAGGAACAAGGCTGACTATCCGACCTTCAACGACGTGGAAAGCGATTGGGACAGCAAGAAGGATGAGAAGAAGAAAGATGAAAAGAAGAAGGACGGTGCTGCACCACCTGCAGCTGCTGGCGGCGCGCCGGGTGCCAGCAAAGTCGGGGTAAAGATCTCGATACTTGAGTATGGCTCTTGATTAGAAGCCGACCTCTTCGAAGGACCAGAAGGAGAAGAAGGACGCGAAGAAGGATGAGAAGGAGGAGGAGAAGAAGGAAGAAAAGAAGGACGAAGAGAAGAAGGAGGAGAAGAAAGAAGAGAAAAAGGATGAGAAGAAGTCCGCCTCCAAGAAGAAGGAGGAGAAGAAGGATGACAAGAAAGAAGAAAAGAAGGATGAGAAAGAAGTAACTTTTGAAAATAATTTTGAAGAAATTTTTGCAGGACGACAAGGAAGAGAAGAAGGACGGTGATAAGAAGGAGGAAGAGAAGAAGGAGGACAAGGTGAGCACAGGAGTCATAACGCTTACAACTAATCCGTAGTAGCCAAAAATCTTTACATTTTTAGAAAGAGGACGACAAGAAGGAAGACGATAAGAAGGAGGAGAAAAAGGATGATGAGAAGAAGGACGAGAAGAAAGAAGAGGCCAAGAAGGAAGCCTCCAAGAAGGAGGAGAAGAAGGAAGCGTCTAAAAAGGAAGGCGGCTCCAAGAAAGAGGCGTCGAAGAAGGACGCTAAGAAGGAGGCATCGAAGAAAGAGGAGAAGAAGGAGGCATCGAAGAAGGCTGGCGCTTCAGGCAAAAAGAAATAGGAACACTGACATCAACGCTGAATGCCCCAATGTTGCCCCTCATTTTGTGCACCCCTGAATAAATGGTTTTGTAAAAGTAGACTTGTGGAGAGAGAGTGATGTGGACAAAGTTACAGGCCGTTAGACAGACGAAACCGAAAAATTGAACACTCGTAAAAAATGAACACGCGACGCTACCACAGCGGAAACAGCAATGCAAGGAAGGCTTTAGGCGCTGAAATTACTTCTGGCATGGGGGTACGGTAAAAAAAGACTGGAGGGCGCGCCATAGAAAATGGACCACGCCAGTCGCACGCGATGCTGGCCAGAATTCAGGCTAAAAGTTAAAATTCTGAGCTAAATCAAACTTTTTATGGTTTAAAAATCGCATTTGGCGGTGTCGCGACACTTTTCTCTATATTTTGCTTCGCTACGGGCCTAATTGCTGGCTTTATAGGCAAATATGGGTTTTATCAAGAAAATATGAGCTCGGGGGGAAAAACAAGTCTCATATTCAGAATCTACGCAGAAAACTACCTTTATTCGAGATCTTTTATGCCGGAAACGAGCCTGAAGTTCACTTAAATACTTAACTTTTAACCTCGAAAACTTCCAACCCTATAAGCTCTAAAATCAAACTACGATTTCCATGATTTTGTGCGCAAAAGATGCGCCGTGTGTTCTTCTACAAATCGTATAATCGCAAATTTGCTAATAACGTCGAAATTTTTTAAAATCGGCTTTTTAACGCAATCCCCAGCTTATTTTCGGGGCCCCCTTCCGGCTCCCCTTGACAGACAGCCCCGTCGTTGACAGACTGCGCCCTAATGTGGTGTCCCAGCCACCGTACCCCCAGCCACCCGCCAGGCCACATAAATAGAGACGCAGCGATTTTCGGCGTTACGCTGCCAAATCCTTCGTTGCAGTTTTAAAGGGGCTACGAAATGCCAAAAATTGAGTGACGACCCGAAAATCGGAGCCCTGGACGTCGGAGGCCTCTGTACACCTAGGGGCGCGGGAAGCTCGCAAATTTGAAATTGCCTGTTGTCACCTCGAAATCACTTTCTCGGCTGTTTCGGGGCCAAATTTGATGATTAAAACACCAAAACTATTTAAAATTGAGTGAGGATTTCAAAAATGGGCTCAGAATGCGCGAATTATAGTGTTTTCACAAAGAAACCGGGCAAAAACAACTTCGCGCAAAAATCGAAAGAGTGAGGGCTCTCGTCCCGCAGCGCCCGCTGGCAATGTGCCAGAAATCAAAGAGCCCTCCCAAAAGGGCTTTGATTTGGCAGTTCGGAGCCCCTTTAAGTAAGGGTGTATCGGCTGTGGCTACGAAGTACACCAAAACCAGGGAAAATTACATATTTTTGTAAAATGTTGTTGCGCGGAACAAAATTTTCGCGCTTCTCCATTTGTGTGCATTTTTGCTTTTGTTGACGCCAACGTCTTTATTAAAATCCAAAAGATATAAAAATATACAACAAGGGGACAGCGTAGTCGATAGAGAAAGGGTGGCTGTAAGTTTTTCTTTATCTTTTTCGTTGAGCACCGACACTGGAAAAGGCGCATTATGACACGGAAATCGAGGAGTAGGAGGGGTGGGAAGGCGCGGGAGCAAAATAAAAGCTATAAAATGGAGACGAATTTTAACGAGACGCATAAAAAAATTTGTTCATAAATTTTCCGGGGACTTAACTTTTTCATCAAGGCACATTGAGAGATGATGAGCGGGGCCAGCGTTACCGATAATTTGCGAGGGCGGGGGCAGCGGGGTCTACAAAACAAACAAACAAATGGGCAGCATTTAGCATTTGTTTAGAAAACGACGACGTGAACAAAATTGGGGGTTGAGAGACGAGCGTGCGACTAGCGAACTGAATTCGGATGACATAGATTTGGCTTGAAATCGGAAGCACTAATAAAGTGTCGGGCGGGTTTGTGACTACAAAAACACGAGGATTGTTGCGGATGGGGAAGGTGGGCATTTTTGCACGGGAACAGCGAATTGCGTTATGATCTGAGGGGGATGGAGACGGCAGCAAATAATTGGTTTTTTGAAAAGATATGGCAATTGCGGGTAATAATGGGGGGCAATAGATTTTCTTAGAAGTTGCTCCACATTGGCTTCCGGATCCAGCGCAGACGGAGGCCAGAGTTTGTTCGGATCTTGATCGAGGCGGCCTCGGCGGCGCGGACAGTGTCCTGAATGTATTTTTGGATTTTTTTCAGATTATCTCGGGGCTGGCGGATATTTTTTTGTTGTCCCGAGCTGGCTCTAACTCGGGTTTCGAGTCCAAAACTTTTAGGAATCCCTCATTCTGGCATGTAGCTTTTCATAGAGTTTCGAACCAACCTTCACCGACTGCATCAAGTTCTGCGCGTTCAGGCACAGCTGCTGCATGGCCTCCTCATCTTCCTCGGAGCCTAAAACGTGGCAATGTGGATCCTATTGGCCAGGTCGTGCTCAAATTCACTCTCATCAGCATGCCGATCAAGAGTTATTGGTATTTGATATTTTTTTGGTTGGCATGCCAGTTATATCATTTCTCAACCGGTTATGTGTTTTCAGAAATTACCGTCAATTGGCTGTCCGTAAGGTCCAATGGTGGCTGAAAGGGTTTATGTCTTTCTCGATTTTGTTAAAGCCCGTGCGGACCGGTAATTGCTGTTTTTGCACCTACCAGCCGAGCCGAGCATCGTCGCCTTGACCGTGGAGAGGATCTTGAGCTGGGTGGCGATGGTAGGAATGCGCTCGCACACTTGCAACAGGGTCTAAAAATAGAAATGTTGATTTTTCTTGTGCGTATTTATATTCTTTATGTATTACGATAATTACGCACCATTCTCATCTTGATATCAGTGCACTGGCGGGCGAGCTGGACGGCAAGGCGCGTCACCTCCTCCGACGAGTCGGCAATGGCCTTGGCGCAGTCGATGAGATCCTACAAAAAACGCGAATTTTCGAGAAGCCAGAGAACTTCGAACCTTCTTGGTGCCTCCCTCGCCCCGGACGAGCTGCGAGAGCCGGGCCATGAGGATGGCCATCCGCTTGGCGGCGGCGACAATCTCGTTTTCGTGCGACGACCACTGCTTCAGCTCCTGGAAAGCGATTACGCTAGGGAATTCGTCGAGCGCCTTACATTGTGGAGGTTGTGGGCAGCGGATAGCATGGGTTGGCTGTGGCCACCGGGCAGGGGGTAGCTAAAAAAAAGAAATTTTAGAAAAAAAACTGCTTGTTTTTACCGTTCCCAGAAGGCGCGGGTCTCCTCCTCTTCCTCATCGACTGGCGGCGGTGGCGGCCTGGAAAAATAAGGTTTCTAATTACTTTTGGATAGTTAAATTCTGAAATTTTGAAATTCTTAAGTGATAAAATGCGCAAAAAATAGAGCGTACAATAGAGAACCGTACAATAGAGCGTAACGTTTTCAAAAAAAATTCAGTACACGGCGCTACAGCGAACAACGGGAATTTTTAAACGGGAACAACGGGAATCTAGGGAATTTTTGATTTTCCGCCCTTGTAACCCCATGACCCGCTGATTTCTCTACTCCTTTTCCGGATTATCATGCTCCAAAACCATATAATCTGTGGGCAGAAAATAAACAGCACTGGGGGCCCCGGCAAGCACACGGGACCACCCACTTGCGTCTGTCTCCCCCCATCACCGCCATCAGGGGTTGACAAACACGACATTCTTCAACGTTTTTTTTGGCTCCGGCTGCTGGTGGGAGGACAGTTTTGCGTGGTGTGGGTGAGCGAGAGAGAGAGAGAGAGAGAGAGAGAGAGAGAGAGAGAGAGAGAGAGAGAGAGAGAGAGAACACTATAGAAGAGCGGAAGGAACCTCGAAGCTACCCGGTGCGCGCCTAGATCCCAGGATATTTGGCCGTTCGAGTGGGCGGACAGTTTGGAAAAAGTTGGGTCTATTGAGTCGGCTAATTTTTAGGCAATACTGAATTGTTCTGAGAGCCCAAATTTAACGATTTAGATGGGTTCCCAATTTCCGGTGAAAACTCGTGAAGCCGAACCTCGGCGGTGGCGAGATCTCGACCGGCGGCGGCGGGCGTGGTGGCGGCGGGATCTCCTCGCGCACGATCATCTACAACAACATTTTCAAGCCGTAATGACAAGCGAACCTTGTGGTGGATGGTTGGCTGGGGCGGGGGCTGCGCCTGGACCGAGTGGAAGTTTTGCGACGACTCGTGGCGAGCCGGCGAGGGCTGCGTGGAGCGGATCGTCTCCTGGTGGTAGTTGTTCCGGCTGAAAACGAATAAAAGTATAAAGTACAAAAGACTTTCCCTACAAAGAAAGAGATAAATATATCGTATATTTGGATTTGGTAAGACACAAGTAACGCTCATCTCTTGTAGCTCGGCTCCCCGTTCGCCTACAAGATTGTAAAGTATACCAAAATGCTCGTCTTCGTCTGGCGTGTATTTTGGTATACACTACAACTATGTAGAACAACGGGGAGCTGTGATACAGGAGGAGCCAAATCAATTTATATTTTTGTTGTTCTAGACCTCATAGAATTTTTTACACTGCTTGCGCACCTTGGAGGGGCCTGCACCCCGGTGATGGCGTCTCCGACGGCGCGCACGCTGTCGAGCAGGTGGTCGTTGGCACCGCGCCAGTGGTTGGCAGCGCCACCGTCGCGCGGGTTCATCGCCACCGACTTGGCATGGTTGACCATGGGCGGGATGGCTGAAATCGGGTAGGTAAAAAGGGAAAATCGTATTCTTCCTTCACATTAATTTTGCATTAACTCGAAAACTACCCCACCAATCCGGCTGAAAATTTTAGTGAGTCTTATAAATATCCTTTCGCATATTCGTGTAAAATTGAAAATTGATCGGACCCAAGATGGCCAAATTCTAGCGGGACCTTTTTTATTAGAGCCCTATGCACCTAATTTACACTCCCAAAGTCTAGCGCCACCACCCACATCTGCGATCATCATTCTCATAGTCCGACTCCTCCTCATCACTATACGAATTCCGATACTTCATCCTCGTGTACGCCCACCGACTCGGTGGCGTAGTGAATTCAAAAATGGACTGCCGCGACCTGGACAGGCTCCTTCTCTCCCGAGAATTATAGCGCGAGCTGCCCCGACTCCGCGAAGTATGCCGCGAGCCCCAGGTACCGTAGTCCCGCCTCGACGCATGTCCACGACTCTCGTGCAGCTGACCGGTGCTCTGGACTGCCACACTTCTCGGTCGCGATTCTTGGAATTCGTGGTAGGAATTGGACTGGTAGCGCCGGCCGGGCGACGAATGCCTCGACCCTTCCCTCGATAAGATCGGGAATTTCGGCACTTTTTCAGGGGATACCGACCTAGACTCGCCCCTCGACGTGGCCCGCGAATTTCCACGCGATACAGAATATGAATAATATTTTGGCGGTGTCCTGGAGGGGCTAAAGTCGCGGAGCTGGTACAGATCTAGCTGGCTCCGGCGCTGCTCGTAGTTGACGCGACGCTGCTCAAAGAGCCGCTCCTCGCGCACCTCATCCTGGCGGCGGCGCTCCTCGGAATAGCGTTCCTTGGCGAAGCCGACCTCGGTGAGGTTGGGCTCCGACCGGGGGTAGTAGAACCCGGAGGCGAACGTCGGCGGCATCGAGCGGTTCGGGTGGGGGGCCAGGGATTCGGTGGGGTCTTCTGGGTCCAAGTGGGAGGAGGGGCCGCGTGACCCTCAACGCTCTGTTTTCCGAGCATTAAAGGGAGAGGGAGAAGGCGCGCATGTTGCATGTTGACGCACCAGGGGTCCCGGGTGGAAATGGGTAAATAAGAGGAAGGGGGAGGAGAAGCTGCTGCTGCCAGCCGATGGAGAGTGGGGGGGGCATCTTCAGCCTGGTCACTCGTTGGGTCGGACACTTCTTGGCAGCGAGGGCCATCATCGATTTGGGGGGAGTCGGGTGGCGGTTCCCGATCAAAGAATACAAAGGTAGGTGGGGGAGGTAGCGGATCAAATATCGCCGGGGAGGAGAGCGATACTTTGGTATATTGGGGGTTTTTGTGTTAAAAACCTCGGCGTTTTTATTTTGAAAGGGAATTAAAAATGGCCAAAAATGAGCGAAAACTTCAATAAGTAAAAGCGTTTATATTTTTATTAAAACCATTTACTTTAACTTAACCCCCTTTAACTTTAACCCCCCCGAAAAAAGCGAAGCTCCCGGCTTTGGAAAATACCCCCAAATCGCCAAGTTCTTTTCAAAAGCCTACCGCAATTTGTTAGTGTTTTTAGGCACAACTTAACATTTTTAAGCATTTTTATATCCAAAAATCTCACCAGAATGCAGCGAAGATGCGGCATCGTTGACGCGACGCACAAAGTGCGGGTCCTCGCTGTTGTCCGCCTCGTTCTTGGCGGTCATCAACACGCGGTTGCCAAGACGCGCAATCTGGAAAAGGTGTACAGGATTACAGTTTTAATGATTTCTAGAAGTTTACAGAGTTCATCTTAGCTTTTCTGAAAGCTTTAACTTCCAAAACCCGCCCACCTGGCTGGTGTTGTCGACCATGCTCTGCGGGTGCGCCGACGAGATGGCGTGCTCGCAGTGGTCGGTGTACTTGCGCATCGCCTAAAAATACAAGTGTCATCTGGGTGCATCTCGTAGCCATACCCCTTCAGACGCGCGCACAAACTCGCCGGTGTCGATGGCATCATCGACGTGAGAGCGGAGGCGGTGCAGCGCGTCAGCGTATTGTCTGTAAGACATATTTTGTTTATTAATTGATAGGGCTCAAAATTGTTAAAAAAGTGATTAAAAATGAAAAGCCGACCTGTGCAAGTTTTCAAAATGCTGGTCGATGGCGTCAGTGTCGTTGTGGAGGCGGATTTTGCCGGCGTTGACGAGTTGGGGCGTCATTTGATCGATCTAAGAAAATTTTAGAAATATTCTTCTAAAACCTTGTCAGCTGAATCCACGATGGCCTCGACGGTCTTCTTGTTCTTGCACGGGCCGCACGAAGCGACCAGTCGGGCGGTAGATGTCATGCGACCGGAGTGTTCGCGCAGATTCGTCGACTTGTCCTAAACAGGATTTTATAACTTTTGTAGAAAACGCAATAAAATGGCAAGTTTCATAACAAAAACACGTAAAAAAGCACAAAAAAAAACCAGTTTTCCCACCTGGAAGTTGTACTCGCGATTCTGGACCGAGTAATCAGCGCGGGCCGCCTCGACGAACTGCTTGAGCGGGGTGGTGATGTCGGCGTAGTGCTCGACCACGCGATCGGTCAGGATCCGTCGCATGAAGTCGGCGAGCTCACGGAGCTTGTCGCGCAGTTGCTGGCGAATGGCGTGGGCTTCCGGACTAAAATGACGGCATCAAAAGCGAAAAAAATATTTACCTGTTGCCGAGTCCGCGTCGCTCCAAGTCGGCGAGTTGGCCGGCAAGTCGGTCGATGTCCGAGCACAGACCGAGAAGACTGAAAAACCAAATATCCATAAACGTGTAGCAAGTATCGTAAGTATTTGAATAGTGTTTTCGCCAAATTTAGCTCCAGTTCAGGTGAAAACCTACATAAAAAAAAATCAAAAAATGTCAAAAACTTCAAATTTTGGTCGGAAATCGATGATTTTCATACTGTTAGTAACAAAATCACCCTTAGGAATAATAAAATATGGTGTAGAATGCATCTATTTCTGCCTTCATCTATTTATATTAGAAAAATGGAGTCCGAATGACCAAAAATTTCTAATTTTTGAAAGTTTAAATAAAAAATTGACTCACCGCCCACGATCCTGCGGGTTCAGCTGATCAGCCAACTTGCGCGCGTCGTCGGTCATCATCTTGATGGCGCGCAGGCCGAGACCGCCGTCATCAACGCCAGGGTTGTCCAGCCACCTCAACGCCTGCTCCAACCGCCCGGCAGCGGTGTGAGCCGGGTGTCCGACGCCAGCCTTGTGGGCGTTGGTGAGGGCTTCTGGCAGGAGGCCGGAGGAAGCCTTGGTTCCGACGAGGTCGCGCAGCTTCTGGGCGCACTGTTGGGTGAGGCGCTCATCGTCGCGGCCCTGGTTCCTCAGCTGGCAGATCGAGTCGGTCAGCTGGTGGATTTCGGAAGTAGCGCGCTGGATGACGTACGCGTCTTCGGGAAGGGCACGGGTGGCGATACGCTCGGCGTATTCGCAGATGCGGCGGATAGCCTGAAATAAGGGGTTGGGTAATCTAAAATGAAAGCAATAAAGGTGATGCTCTCGTTTTATAAAGCTATAGCTGCGGAGCAATTTTTTAGAGGGGTTTCAAGGTCATTTCTTGCAAGACAAATACGCAAAGTTACTCGATGCCTGCCTAATAAAAATATTTATATTCTTTAGTAATTTCCGTTTAGTATGACATTACTAAACCTTTTTTGGTACCAAAAACAGCTTCAAAACGAACGTTTTTGGCCGGTTCTGATAGTTTTAAAAAGATTTTTGATCAAAAATCAACATTTTTTCACTTTCTAACTTTTATTCTAACTGTTACAACTATAACTATTGAAAATCTCCCCCCCCCCCCCCGCTAGCAGGAAAGCCCCTAAAAAGTTTGCATACCTTTTCGCCGACAGATCCGGGAACACCGCGCGGATCAGCGAGCCATTCGAGCGCGGCGGCGAGCAGCGATTTAGCTGCGGAAAGCGCCTTGCGCATCACCGTCACGTTGTCCGCGTCCCATTCGTCCTCATCGTAGGTGGTCAACTGAAATTTGTAGAGTACTTTTAAGCTTCTAAAGCAAAAAATATAATTTTCTGCACACAAAATTTGGCCTATATCACCAAGACACCAACACGATATTGGGAATTACGCCAAGAACACGATACGCGCTAATACTTACTGGCAAATAGCAGCGTACTACGTTATGATTCTAAATTTTGGCTAGTTGCGCATTACCCCCTTTTGAAAATGGAAATCCTTTCTCACCTGCAGGACGCGAATGACCTCGTTCATCTCGTCGGTCATCCGCTGGGCCAGGTAGTTGCGGTTTTCGGCGGCTTCTTGTTGACCCTGAAGAGTAATGATGGCAGGTTGAAAAAAGAGTTTTATACCCTGGAGCCGGGGCTTTGGCCGAGCTGGATGAAGATTTTCATCGAGCAGATGAGGATGGGCGACAGGGTCTTGATTTGGTCGAGGCATCGCAGCAGGATCTCGCGGTGAACCTGAGAAGTATGGTTTTATAAATATAAAAATCCCAATGAATGTCAATTTCGCGCAAATTTATCTCGTCGAAATCACTTTAGTGCCGACAAAATGCATTTCGACAGTCTAATTAAAGAAAACGCAAAAACAATAGCCCTTTACCTGATGCGTCAGCTCCTGTTGCCGCAGGTTGACGTCCTGCGAGACGCGCGACAGCCACGGGGTAATGTCCTGAAGAATGGAATATAAAAAGTAACAAAACATTGACATACCTTGACGAATTGGGTCAAATCGTCGAGACTCTCGATGACCTCAGAGACGGCCAGATAGTCGAGCACCTTGCGGCATCCGCGGATAATCTTCCGGACCTCGCTCTCGTCGAAGCAGAGCAGCAGGGCCGAGGTGCCCTGCAGGATACCGCGGGCGCCCTCGATAAGCTGGAAAAGAGGGGATAGATTAGTTCAATTTTCTTTTTATTGATTTTTATATGTTCAGATTCTTGATTTCTATTTGCCTCATTTTTTACTCACCTTTTGCCGTCCTGGCGCACTGTACGGGTCGCCCTTCAGGTTACGGCAAGCATCTAAAAATAAGGTTTAGTTTATTTTTCGATCCGATAGGCATCGTAACGCCAAATTAAATATTTAAAAAGCGTTTTAGTAAAATTTGACTATGCTTCAAGTGGAAAACTATCCAAAAAACTTTTAAAATCGTTAAAAAGTTCAAATTTTGGAAAAGCGAGCTCTTTTCTATTTTGAATCAAACGCTTTACAGTTTTTGCGTTTAAGAATGGTAAAACAAAGTGTAAAAACACTTCCTATATTAGAAAAATAGGCTACGAAAAAATTCCCTGTAAGCTGAGCGCAAAATCGTAGATTTTTCGCCAAAGTTGACGAATTCGAAACAATGATTGTCTATGGAATCTGTAGTTTATCGTAATTTTCAGATTTCTCGGCATTATCATTTATAACCAGCGATTTTCACGCCCAAAAAACTGACCTTCAAGCAATCGGCTGGATCCCTCGACGCGCTGAAGCGCTGGCGGCATGTCCTGCTGCAAGATGCGGTCGTCCGAGTGGTCGCACGTGTCGTAGCCAACCTATAAACGTGGGGATCAATTAGAACGTTATTTTTGACCAATTCCATATATCTTGGGTGCCGGGTGCCATTGGCGATTTGGGATTTTAACGACTGGGCCGTTTTACTAGAATCGTAGCGCGAATAGGAGAGCGTTTCTTCTTTGTGGTATGACTGTTGGGCGCGGAAACGGCGGCGCGATGTTTCCCGGTATTCCATTTTTATTTTTTCCAGGTTACCGTGTCCGGGCTTTCATTAGGATGGGAAAAAAGAGCGGTAAAAGTGGGAAAATAATGTATATATGGGGCGAATTTTCAAAAAAAAAAATAGTTTTTGGTTGTTGCTGGCAGTAGCTATAGTATTTTTACGGAATTTGCCGGAAGGGCAGCGCAAAAATGACAAATATCGGGCAGGGGAGGGGTGCCAGTGGAATTTTCGGAGACGGGGCAGCGTAGAATTCTATAGGGCAACCTGGAAACTTTTCCGGTAAGTTTTAGACAATATTGAAATAGTAGAATAGTTGTTTTTTTCAACAATAATTCAAGTATTAAATAGCAATAAACCGGAACAGAAATTTAAAATAGTTATAGCAGCTCTTCCGGAATCGGATATAGCAACGATTACAGTAGAAAAAAGGGTAATTTCCAATAAACCCTAAATATAGCCCGTAATGTTGCTATATGTAGCGTCGGAAAAGAATGACCACTGCAAGGCGGGCCTGGTCGTACTGTATGCGCTGGTGATTAGGCGCTCCGGGGACACTGGGTGTTATTAGGCGCGGCGCGGAATTCCGGGGGCGCGCGGAGATCGTGGGGATGGCGTTAGAAAGGGGCTCATCATTGGTGAGAGAGAGAGAGAGAGAGAGAGCCAAAGAACACCAGCCGATGATGATGCTGATGATGTGCCAACTCTGGCCACCCATCGCATCAATCAACTTGCCATTAAAGGAGCGGGGTGGTGGTGGTTATGTTCTACTTGGGCGGGCGGGGGGGGCAGCCCGTTCGGACAGCTTGCCCCCGAGGTGGGTATGGGTTTATAGCCAATTCCAACATGCATGATTTAGCACCTCCCGGGTAGGGCAAAAGTGATGGAATTAGGGGCACGAAAACGGCTGGCACGAGTAAGGGTTCGTATGGCAAGAATACAAAGTTTTTAGCAACCTTCCGAAACGTACTTTTAGCCTTACTACGTATACGCCTATTTACGCAGAGAGGCTGAGGTATAGCAAGAGAGACAGAGAGCGAGAGAGTGAGAGAGACCGAGAGAGAGGCGCAGGTGTTCATAGGTGTAATTCGTTTTAAAGGAAAAAGCGTCAAACAAATAAAATCAGATCAACGCAACTCGTTTTCGCACAGAGAAAAGTGTGTATTGGGTAGCTCCGCGTACTCGATTTTTTTAACGCACGGCGGTCCATTAAATTAAATAAGCAATGCTTCAAAACCCTTAAACTCCACAAACCTTGATGAGGTTGTCGACGGCGTGGGAGACGAGGCCGACGGGCCTGGTGAGGTCGGGCATCGCACCTCCATCTTCGGCCTCTTCGTGCAGGATGACTAGTCGGGATACCTGAAGCTTAGAATTAATGATGTTTTTCAGAGCGTTGAAGCCCAGGATAACCGAGGGATAAAAAGCGGAAGCCGGGGAATTTTGTGCCCTGGTGTGCATGGCTGAAGCGAACGAAACGATGCTATGGACGGGACAAAACGGACAAATTTTGAAGACTTAAGATGGTAAAACACACAAAACAAAAAGCGAGAGAATTCTGCGGCGCTAGTTTTGCACTTTATATGATGCAGTTTTCCCACAAAAAAAAACGCCTGGTGAGAATTGAAGAGTGATGGAAAATTTTGACTACAACGTGCTTCTTTTAACGCGCTGACAATGTGCGCCGCCCGCATTTTCGTCGTACAACTTATAAACTGCAAGCTACTATCTCTCTCTCTCTCTCTCTCTCTCTCTCTCTCTCTCTCTCTCTCTCTCTCTCTATTTCTCTCTCTCTCTATCTCTCTCTCTCTCTTTCTCTCTCACTCTCTTCCTAGAGACGGACAAGTACAAAACAACACATACACATCCGATTCCCCCTCCGCCCTTCGGCAACATCAGATGGCACACGGGGCAGTCCTCATCCGTCACCAACGTGCGCAGCGTGTCCGGCGCGACGAGCTCGGAGCGGAGACTGCGGCGGGAGGAGGCGCGCGAGAGGGCGCCCGGGGGCGCTACAGGCGGCTCCTCGGGACGGGGGCCTTGTCGCGCGCACGCCTCGGCGACGGCCACCACGTAGTGCAGCTACAACGGGACACGACTATCGACGGTATGGACACTTGTTGGGCATGCCGGGGATGTAGGAGAGGTCGGCAGAGTCAGGCGCATGCTTCTGGTTATGGTTTTGTATCGAATTTTCAGCCCCCAGCGACACGCAACGCGAGCCGACGAATATATGGCGTAATCGATTATCCCATTTTTAGCTTTTTTTAGCTTACGAAAGCCTCTAAAAATCCCAGCCTCACCTCCCCCCACCTATACATAGATATCCCTTTGTTTTTGTTTGCCCTCCGGTGGGTGGCGAATCTTTACGTGGTGTCGGCAGTAGCTCCCCCTCCCACCCCTCTGGCCTCCCTAGTGAACGATCGAGCGATTGAAGCCCGGAAAAAGTCGAAAAGCCCCCGTTTTTACGCCTGGGCCCTCGCGATTTCTTCGGCTCCCTCTCTCCCTCCGGCGGCCCAGGTCTGTGTCCCATTTCCAAAATGTCGTGCTCTTTGTGAGAGGAGGAGGAGGTGGGGTGGGTGAGATGAGACGACGGGGCGCATTGTAAAGTGGGCTCTGCCCTGAGGCCACATCCACGCACAGTCACACACACATACCACCACACCACCTACACTTGGCATCCGGATGCCGTTCCCAGGGGCAAGAAATAGGATTTGGAATCTTACGTATACACCTAGTGACGTAGAGAGTCTGCTGCGGAGAGAGAGAGAGAGAGAGTGAGAGAGAGAGGAGAGAGTGAGAGAGAAAGAGGGAGAGAAGAGAGAGAAGGAGAGCGAGAGAGAGGGAGAGCGTTTGGGAGATAGAGAGTAGAGAAAGAGCGAGAGCTTTCCTTTAAAGAATTCGAGAAACTCCGAAAACTACGCGCCACAACAACAGACTGTTGCTAAGAAACTTTCGCCTTCCTCAGGCATCCGAAAACAAAGTGTCGACACCCAGTAAGGTGGAGGGGTCGATTCTGGCGCTTCCGAGCCCCTTTAAAAAATGTGTGGATAGGCTCGCCGGAGCTCGAGACATTAATGAAGGCGAAGCTACGTTTTTTAAAAGAATGTTACTACATAGAAAATTAGAAGAACGAGCAAAGTGGTGTGGATGCAAAAGAATTAGTCAGACCAGTCAGAAAATTAAAAAAAAAAGATGAAAACACTTGAAAAACACGAATTTTTAGGTAAATGTACAAGCAGGAGACGCACATATAGCGGGTGGACTTTTTTAGGCAAGCAAACGCATGCGTTAAGCCTTTAAAGGGATAGCGACACTGTCCAACAAAAACCAGCCAGGCAAAAAATTGACGTTCAGTGGTCAAAAAATAAGAAAACGCGAAATTCGCCATTTAAAATCCAAAAAAATACAAAACTAAGTTATAAAAAAGGATTCTACAGATGTCACTATCCCTTTAAAAGACCATAAATGGAAAATCAAACCCAAAAAATTCACCCACCTGCTGAGCGACGGGCTCGAGAATATTCTCGATGGTTTTCGTGTGGAAGACGGGCATTTTGGAGCAGTGTTCAGTAAATGGAATGCGGCAATAGCGGAATGATAGTTATTTGTCTCTTCTCCTTCTTCTGTTGTACGTCTATAGGCCTGGCGCGTAGTAGGGCGCTGCCGGCGTGTGTTTCCCCGCGTTCAATTCAGAGCCTCGCCATCCTACTCCCCGGCGCCCAAGATGGTGGGAGGGTTGGTGGTGTTGATCTGGAAGATGGGTTAAATTTATATAAATGCGTAATTCTGACAATAAAGAATCAAAAAAAGTATGGAAATACACTAAAATCAAAGTTTAAAACATTATTGTAAAGCTAAAAGCTTTAAAAAATTAAATGTCATTTTTGCCGGAAAATTTTATAAGTTAATATTTTTCAAACGATTCTTTTTCAATAAAACGGAGCTTTTGCATTACAGGGGGGGGGGTTTCGGATAGAAGCACTTTTTCCTTACAATCGAAATTTTTTTTCAATATAGCTGCCCCAGTGTCTCTAAGAATTTTATTTAGAAGCGTAAAAATTAACAGATTTAATTAAAAAATACAAACTATCTATTTTTCAAACAAATATGGTCGACATTCGACGTTTAATAGTTTTCCATACAAATTATACTTAACAAAAGCCACTAGGTCAGCCGTGTGACATTCGCTAATTTCCAAAAATTTCCTCAAAAAATTTCTTAAAACTAAATGCACCCAATTTCCTCGCGTAACCAATTCGAAAACACGGCTCTGAGCTGGTGCTCAGCACCGGAAATCCGACACCGAATTGCCCCAAAAATAAACAACAGATTATGGATTAGGCAAGGGCGGAGATGGGTGCCCTGGGGGCGGGCTCGGGAGCCGATTATCGATCTCGGATCGGGGGCCCAGAAGCGGGCGCTAATATTTGCCGAAGAGGGCTCAGAAAACGTCCCGGAAATCCGGCGGTTTGAAGCAAGAGCCGGCGAGGACGGGGATAGATCTAGAGATCGAAGTCGTCCGAAAAGCTATGAATTCTATTGATCGAATTTTCACGGTGAGATCGAATTAAATTTGGGTTCTGTACTGTTAACGGGGGGGGGTAGAAGCGCTATCAAAACGCCGCTCTCCAGCTGTTCTCTCCTTTTTGAGTAGAGAAAACTAGCCTAAAATATGTATTAATTTTTGAATTTTGAAATGGTATGAAAATGTGCGATCAATGAGCAAATATTGCAGACTCTTCCGTATTTCCAAACATAGTTTTCTAGATTTTTGGGTTAGAGGCCGCTTAGAAAAAGTACAGAACTACAAAATATTTTATTACTGAGAATTTATAAGAAAAAGCGGGAAAAATGCATTTTCCAGTCCCGAAAAAATTTGGCGCTAACAATCCAGGGCATTAAATTAATTGGGTTGAGATTAAAGGCATAAAATAACTGCAAATAAACGATAAAAACTATGAAAAGATGGAAGCGAGAGAAAGAGAAAAACTATAAAGTAAATAAACGAAAACTTTCAGATATGTGCCGTGAGAGTAGTGAAAATAAAAGCTTGAATTCAGTTGAACTTCCGGTTGACCAATGTAAAAAACATGTGAATAAGCGTAGGTCCGGTCCTAAAAACTAAAGGTCATGAAAATATGCGAGAGCCTCGGGCGAGCTTTCCACGAGAAGAATTTGGTGAGGCCGTGAAAAAAGCTTTTGTGGCAGCGTCCCTCTAGAGGAAGAAGCCTCTCGACGGAGAGGGCGTCGAGATGCGGGGCGGATGGCTGTGAATCAACGGGGGACGCTCCCCACCACCGATGATTATGGATGGGGTGCGACGAAGAAGAAGAAGAAACCGAAGAAAAAGGGACGGGCATCGCATTGGATTGAACTAGTCGATCGTAGTAGTACGGTTTTGGAATTTTTATGAGGCGTTTTCAGGAGTAAAAGCGGAAGTTGTTATAGAGAAAAGGGCAGAGAAACTGCGATTTCTTCACAAAAACAAACGCGTAAAGATTCAGAAGGCACTGAAATAAAAACCAGAGCCGGGGCTTCGAGTTAGACCATACAATTAAGACCATCTGGCACTGAACTGTTAGCGGGGGGGGGGACAAATTCTTCCAAATATGGCCTATAACGAAATATGAAAAATTTTGATTATTTTATACAATTTTTAGATTTAAAACTTTACAAAAAATATGGAAATGTTGGAAAATGTTTAACTTTGGCGAAAAATGTAGAAAATTACCAAAAAAGGCAAAATCCTAGAACTACATTTCTTTAAATTAGGACTTTTTAGCAATCAAAAACCACTAAAATCACCATAAGAATACATTACACATTATCAGCAGGAATAGGCGGAAAACAAAAATTAGTGCCACCCCCGCTAGCAGCCCAGTACCGACTATGTTACGTGACGTCTAAAATCTGGAAAACATAAAAAAACGTGACGTATAAAAAGTCTCTACAAAGCAGCATGGTAAAGGCAATTCGGCGTATTGGAAGACGTAATTTAGCTTTACTTTTTTTTAGTATTTTAATTTAGCGTATTGGAGGGCGTAACAGAGACCGGAAATGGCCATTAAACGTCTAAAAAAGACCCAAGAAAAATCAGAATGAAGCATCTAGCTAAGAACACAAAACCTATTCACCCCCAACCCAAACTTAGTGACTCCCCGCCGTTATCTGGCGCTAAATCCCAAGGCCACCGGAACAGCGCGGTGTTCAGCCGGGTTGGCTAATTGCCGATGGGGCAACCGAAGGGAGTAGAGGACTATTCAAGGGCACAATAATGTGTCCGGGGGGGGGCAACTCCGCGACGTTCAGATTTTAGGTGGTGGCGACTGGATTGGGTAGGCGGGGTGGGGTCGAAGAAGAAGAAGCACAAGCAACAGCTGACCCCCGCGGCTGGCAGAGGGGGACAAACGAAGAACTATGAACACAACGGGGGGGTGCAATGGCCAGCGGGCTTCACCCCCAGGACCCGGGGAATCAACGATGAGTGGATAAGAAAGTACGGGTTAACTTCGGAAAAATAAGAAATTTTTAGGTAAAAAAATTTTTTTTAGTTTAGATTTATTTAATCTAAATTCTGAAAAGAAATAAGAAGCTTTTTGATTAAAAAAAATATAATCAAAATCTGGATTACGTTATAAAATTTCTAATCGTCAAAATTATAGCGATTAAAAACGCCATAAACTTAGAATCCCAGAATTTCTAAAGCCAAAGGCATAAAAATATGAGCAATTCACCCAAAGCCGATGAGCCCTAAAAACACTATAAAGCGTAGAATACGCACGTAAAACGAAACGTACAAAACCATACGACGTAAGTGTGAGGATCCTAAGCGTCCAAAGTAGCACAATAAAGATTACAGCCGATTTTAGTAGCAGCCCATGGAAATTTAAACCCTCTAAAGTCGTGGCAATCGGAAAACGCCGACGGCATGACTAAAGTCGCGACGTGTGTGTCACTTCGACGTGCCATCCGGTGAATAATCCCGAAAAACGGAACCCCAGAGACGTAAAGCGTCATTTTCCACGCCCGAAATCGTGTAGGCGGCTCGACTTGACCCATCCAGGCTCTATTTCCTAAAATCCATCACTCCGCCAGCCCTGCTTCGCCAAGAGTCTCGATGGAATTTGGGGGGGTGGGCACAAAAGTATCCGGGCGAGGGTGGATGACGCATATTTTCGGGCCGGAGAGGGCCCCCCGAGGCAACCGAGACACAACAAAATACGAAAAGGACCGCCGAGAGCTAGGGTCGCAGCATTCTTCAGCCGGCAAAACGGGGGGGGGGGCCCTAGGGCTTCTTTTTGGGGGCCCTTGTGGATGGTGTGAAAGGGACCCCGGGGGTCCTTGAAGGGGTGCCCGGCTACTAGAGTACGAGTGACCGATGCTGGCCAGGGGCGGGAAGATTTTGGATTTTGGTGTTAAAAATGATTAAAAAAGGCGCAGACTGTTGATAAAAATTCAGCCAAAAAGTTTAGAAAGATCGGTTAGACTTTATTTTATACTACCACCCCCCCCCCCCCTCGAACCGGAAGTACCCAAAATTTTTCGAGATTTCAGCTATTTTGTAGGGATTTTGACGACGCCATTCGATAGAGCTTGAAAAAAAATACACTAGTTTTGCTTACAGCACAAAATAATGTAATATAAAAAGTTATAGATAAAAACTTTTGGGAACTTCCGGCTGGGGGGGTAAAATAAAGTCTAGCCGAAAGTTCTAATTCCTGAACTAAAGGGCATATAAATAATTTTGGCTCGTATCGAATATTCTAAGGCCAAAAAGAGGGCCCAGATTCGGAATGGCAACACTCGGGGGACACAATCAAATTGTGGCCAATTGGGTTCCGGTCGAGTAGCCGCGGAAAATCGGCGGCCAAAGGACGACAGAATGCGAATACGGAAGAACATCAAAAAGTCGCCCTGCGATTCAGGAAGCCAAAAAAAAACTAAAATAACGCAGAACCCCACGAAAACCGACACACAGCTGTCGACAAATCCCCACAAAATTCGGTGGTTTCCATCGCCCAAAGTCAACCCAAAAAAAAACCCACACAAGGGGGAAAGCCGCCGGCGGGCCCCTCTACGGCCAGCTGTGGCACATGTGCGAGGGTGGGGGAGATGTGTAGAGGAATGGATATTGAGGTCATGGAATAGGATGGGATTGAAGAGGAAAGTAAGGGAAACTGGGAAGAGGGAAACGGCCCTCAGCCCCCAGCCCACAAACACTGCCCCATTAATTCAATCCCCCGGACTGTCCGCAACCCCGACCACACTAATGGGCTTCTTAGAAACATGAAAGAAGTCTTGTCATCATGGATGGATGGATATTCTGAAAGGGTTGGAAAGGATAGTGAGAACCGTACAACATTCACAAGGCTAAAGGGAATATATAGTCAAAATGAAAGTCCTAAAATGACCAGACAGAAATTGCCTTTAAAGAGCACCAAAAACCTCAATATCTTTCCAAAAATCACCAAAATCAATCAGATCAGTCGCCCCGGAATCTCGTCATCGGCTTAGTACGTTCTTCCGAGGGCCCACACACGCCCGGTGGCTGAGAGGGAAGGGGGCATGTGCCGAGCCGTGGTTGCTTGTATTTGTCTTCTTCTTCGTCGTTTTCTTGGCCTTTCTTGCTATCTCTCGTCTTTTCCTCTCTCTGCCCCTTGTTTGAGAGCCGAGGGTCCGTCGGTCGGGCCCCAGACCCGCCTTGCAACACCCCCGGTCACTCGGAGGCCCCCACGGTCGCTGCATGTTTTGTTTCGGGTCGCACTGATTAGCTAACTAGCTTATGGGTGAAACTCTAGTTCTACGAAGTAGATTCTCTAGTTTAGTGTTACGAAGAAAGCAAATTCGCGAAAAAAAACCCGGTAAAACATTCCGTCAAAAAAAAATTGGAAAGGCGAGGCGGGGCTGACAGTGGATAGATTTCGATTGATATCGCCAGGGGGATGCTGAATGTGGCTGCTGGATGGTGAGGGTGATGAAGGGGGAACAGGTCTCCTGCTGACCACAAGGTTGCCTCCCCATAACCGGATCAGGAACGGTTGGGGAGAGAGGGAGCGGCAGCTACCCAAACAACAAGGTGGGCTGTCAGATTTTGAATATGCAATTTAGGACTTGTGACTACAAAAATATCTAGAAAACTGAACGCCCGAAAAAAGACAACGATTCCGCCAAAAAGACCAAGTGGTAGAGGGTGTTTTGATCGGTGATCGGGCTCTTTACTATAGGGCCCGAAGGGGTGGGGGATCTTGGAGGTGCTGCCTCCCTCGCCCCGTCCGGCATCCTTTCACATTACAGCACGGCCCGGCAACAGGAGGGGGCAGACACGGCCAACGGAAAGCCGGGAAGACCCTCAACTAGTGGCCCTCCCGGTGCGTCCTAAAAGATCCCACCCCTGACCCCCTGGCACCTGAAGAAAAAACAGTCGGCTAGCCTAGCTTTGTCGACGTATCGACTGCTGCCAGGCGAACTGGCGGCGAACGGCCATGGTCATTGAAATGTGCCTGGAAGTTGAGTAATGTAGGCGCGAGGAATATAACAGTCCAACCAAGCAGACTTTCTCAAAAACCAAATAAAAACCACAAGCGAGGGCTTGATTCCCGCGCTGATAAGCTCGTATGGCTCGCTTTTTCTGCATTTTGTTTACCGAGGCTTGTTCCCCTCGCCCTACTCTGACGAGGAGTATTTTTGATCAACTGATGTTTAGATCGAGGCGATTGGAAGGCTGGATGGTCCAAACGACTAAAGTTTTTTATTCACAACGAAAAGTTAAATGAAGACAAAACATAGGGGTTAATGTACAAGAGCACAAAAAACCATACCCGAGCGATGCTCACAATCATAAGAAAAAACCTAGAGTTATTAACCAAAAATGCTCCACTGAGAAACCCGATTTTGGTGGGACCAAATGCGAAAAGTGCGTATCTAACAAGTCGGTAGCTGGTAGATGGGCGTGTCCGGCTCGTAGCCCACGGGAAGCAGAAGCGTAGCCTAAAACAATGAGTTCGAATCCTTGCGCGATAGATTACATGAGGCAGCATGAGTTTGTAAGTCTGACGAATCGTGCATTCGGCGACGCCAGTGACTTCGTGCACCTGCTTCGTGTTCACTTTCTCCGCCGACATCTGCGAAGCTAGGAAGATCGCAGCCGCCGCCACAGAGACCGGGCTACGGCCCGGGACGTAGTCGTTTTGGTTCGCTTCTTGGGCGACGTGGATGGCCACGTTCTAAATCAATAAATAAAACGGAAAGCAAACTAAGATACCTCAACCTTCGCAGAAAGACCGAGGTTGGCGCAGAAGCGCGACATGAAATCGGTGGCATTGATGTGAGTCAGCGACGATTCAGTGAGCGCGATTATTTGCTTGAAGAGGCGCCCGATGACCTTTTTGGAGACGTTGCTGATGGCACAGATTTCTAGAAAGAACGAGTTTCCGGCACAATTTCAAGGTTCTTATATACCTAAGGCAGGATAGGTCCAAATCAAAACAGATACGTACCCTTGAACGTGCGAGGCACTTGCTCGCGACGACAGGCTATGTATAGACAGGCAGCGGCTTGAGCCTCAACATTCTTGGCCCGCAGGGAACCAGTGTCGTAGACGCGCTTGAAAGTGCTGGCCGCCGTCAGCTCGATCGACGTGGGCAGGTGCACACGGGCGCACATCTCGCGAAGAATCTGGGTGACCTGCACGAGCTGACGGTCGGCATTGCTAGCGGAACGGCGCTGGTTGGTGTAGAGACTAAAACATAAGGAAATGTACATGGAGGCCACGTTACCGCTGGTCAGCCTCGCTCGAGAAGGCGTTAACAGCGATGCACGTGTGCAGGTCGCTCCCATTCATGATCGGGTTCTCCGGGGCGCCAACGCGCGACGGGTCGCCGCCCTTGTGGTCGTTGGAAAAGGAGCGCCACTCGGTGCTCACGTCAATGGCCCTAGGATTGAAAATTATACAGGAAAGCAGCATCATGCTCACCGTTCGCTGACGACGAGGCCACATTCCGGGCAGATGATATCGCCTGCACGAGCGTCTTCGATGAGAGCGACCCCGGGATGGTTAGGACACCCAATCATTGTTAGTGGATGTTATGCTTAGTTGTTATTTCCTGAAAAAAATAGTTTTGGTAGAAACTAGAATCAAAAGTTTTAAAAGTAAAAGGATTTTGAAAGGGGTTTTTAGCGAGAAATCGGAAATGGCGGAATAATGAGAAATCGAAATAGGGCGACCTTTACCGTAACTTTCCAAGCGACAACTTTAACCTTCCGAGCGTCGTTAGTATTTTCCGTATCTAGTACTTTATTTTTGCTGAATTCTAATTTCCAAGTTTGTCTGATATTTATACTTACTAATTTAAACTTTCAAAATTTATATTGGAAAGTTCCACTTTTTATTCGCGGGGGGGGACCTTTTTTCTGTTTTTTTTTCGGGCACTTTTTTTCTGTTGGCCCTGGTGGGCATAGTAATCAAATTTAAAGTGTTTTCACATTGTTTTTAGCAAAATTTAAGCCTATTTTAATAGGAAAAACTTTTTTAAAAGTTAGAAAAACGCTTGAACCCCCCGGAATACTCAAGAACCCACTTTTTTCCTCGGAGATTTGAACAACAACAGTTTAGAATTCACGATACTCTTTTATGGCCTTTTTTGCGTTTCTTTCTACATCTTTATTTTTCAGGGCTGACGATGGATGCGGCCATGAAAGAGCCCGGATTCCGATGCTTCCTGAGATGCTGCCTCTCCGCCTACAAAAACAAAGCCGTCAGCGGTCGTATGCCCAACGCACGCATCGCGGAGATTTGTCTACAGGATTGGAGCAGCCCGTATTTTCCGAGGCAGAAATTCGCACGCCGAGCCTACGATTCCTGGAAGCTCACCTGCCCTCCAAGCGTGCCCGAGGAAGCTACTGCTGCTGATGACATTATGAGCAGCACCGTCGACGTTGAAATGAAATTCGATACTGGAAGCTGCAAGCTGGAAGCTGAACAGGAAGCTGTTGAGCCGAATCTCGACGTTTTTGAGTGCTCCAACAGAGATGAGAACCTCAACCTTCGTGAGAAGCCGGCAATTCGGAACGGCCAAGTGAACATCGATCCGAATCTCGACGACAGTGTCGGCTCCGAGACAGATGATGAAAAGCCCAGTTCCGAGATAGATTGTTCGTTCGTCACGGATATAAAGTCCTCACCAAGCCCTGTTGCGATCAAGCACGAACAGAAGACGCCGAAGTGCCAGAATAAAACACCAAAGGCCCGCCCTCCTCGCATCGATTTGAACGACAAAAGGATCGCATGCGGCATCAAACGCGCTCGCACCAGCTTCACTTTCTACATCATGGACCGCAACATGCAGGTGAGGGCAAATGGAAAGGACAGTTTCAAGCTGTTCGCTGAGCAATGGCGTACGCTGGGACCCATGGAAAAACAGTATTATCACGACAAAGCTGCTGCGGACTTGTTCCGATACACCACGGAGATGCAAGAAGCCGTCATGCCTGAAAATCGCCCTCCTGCCACGGTTTAATTTATACAAAAACTTTTCCTTACAACTATAACTCCGGTGCTATCCATTTTGCATTGCTTGCTACCATGCTTCGTTATCTTGCCTCTTTGTTACTTTAACAAATAACCACCCAAAATCCCCAAGATTGAGTTGCATAATAAGTCTTTATAAGTAATAAAATTGTTACTTATCATTTATGTGAATTGCTCATTTCAGGGAAGCATCCCAAAGAACTACCGTGAAGCGCTTGCTATCCTGAAGAATTGAAAGCGTCGGTGTTATGCAGGGCTACCGGGGCACCCATTGCCCAAAGATCACTTCCCTTTTCCCGATCGGGTCGAGCTTCCTTTGCCATTTCATGTCGGCAAACATAGTCGGCGCTCGCCATGCGACTCTACACCCCTCAACCGCCCGCACTCCACAAATCGATTGTCGTCACTTCAACCGCCATTGCCGGAATCGTTCGGGGTTTTTTTAACGAAATAGTTTTTTTGGGGACGACGTCCGATATTATTTCCTTAAGCAAAGTTACTTCTGACTCTTTTCAGCTATTTTTAACGTCATTCCCAATCCATATCTAGTCAGCAAATCACGTTCCATTAAATTTGGTCAAAAACTGGGCCAACCCGACCATTTCCAGTCACTTTCGGGCGCCCCGTAATCAGGTGTGCCGGGGGTTGATCGATTCGCGGGGTTGCCCGGCTTCAAGCGTCGCCAACCAAAGAACTGCTGCTAGGCTAAATTGGGCCCCGGCGCCGTCTTTCCCGTACACCTGGCAACACGACAAATGGAGCCGCTAAGTGCTGGTGCTGAGCCGGTTGACGAAACTGATCAGGTTTGATTTCCGTTGTGTCATTAAAAATAGCGAGAAGAGTTGGGTAGTTTTTTGTAGTACATTCAGTACTTTTTGTTTCTACTAAGTACACATGGTTCCAAAAATTAATGCCCGATAGATCGGCCATTTTGCGGGTTTTATGAATAGCGCACATTCGCGGGACTCATGTTGTGACTTGTGACCTGATAGAGCCACAGGTCAGCGCATCGAGCCACAGTCAAAACAAATGGCTAGAGATTCCTAACTCCCACCTTTTTTTCTAAAAGTTAATTGCCGATGAGATCTGAGTCGATTTTACCAGGGGTAGGTGTTATTTTGAGAGCAGCTAGTGGTCCTCGAAAGATTTGTTGCAGAAAATCTTACAAAGAACAAAAATTTAGGCTGGCACCTCCGTGGAGGGTCAAACCTGCGTCGTCTGCTCGCACACAGCCCATGGGATCCATTTCGGCGTGCCGTCCTGCCGAGCATGTGCGGCTTTTTTCCGGAGGTAAAATCCAAACTCTCGTCACCAGGAACGTAATTTCTTGTAGATCCGTGGTGCTCGACCGCAAATATAGCTGCCGCCGGATCAACGCCGAGTGCGAGATCAGTTTAGGTAGGTACCTATAGAAAATGCGTAGTCCTAGAAAAGTTACTGGCTGAAAGAGGTAAACGTAAAAAAGTCTAGATGTCCGATATCTCTGCCGCTACTGCCGCTTCCAGAAATGTGTTCGCGTGGGGATGACGCCTGAGAGTGAGTTGTGCCAAACCAGGGGAATAATTGCAGCGTGTCTTTAGACGTGCAATGGAATCGGGATCGTATGTCGAGCTCAATCAAGACGGGGAAGAAGCCGAAGGACTCGGGGCCTGACACCGGCGAGAATCAGCCAAATGACGTGGAATCTGACAAATCGCCTATCGACGTCGTGAGCGATGGCTCGGAGACCGGCTCGCCTGAAGTCCCGGTAGCAAAGGTTGGTAAATGATTGTAGAATTTTCTGAGTAGGTTTCGAGCAAATCCTATGTCAATTTTTTAGCAAAAAGACCGGGGTGACGCCGCATTCTTTGCCCAACAATTCATCGAAGTGTCGCGGATGGTGGAGAAGATTATGAACCAGGCAAGAAAACGGTTGAATTTTTTTATGTTTTTCCTTCAGACGCAACCAATCGAGGTGATTTCTCCATTCCCATTGACGGCGCTACAGCGGATGGCCGTGGCCACCGAGCGCTTCCGGGAATATATGCCCCGAGAGGGCGCCGTTCAGGTTTGATTTTTTAGTTAAACTTTTAAACAATATGTGTATTTTAAATATATTTTCCATTATTAGCTAGTGCACGAGATCCACTGGTCGACCTGCGAGCAGGACTGGTTCCACCTGATGCAGCGGGCGGCCAACTGGTACATGCACAGCGAGGAATTCTCACGGCTTCCTAGCGGGCAAAAGGTACCTTTTTATACCTTTCTTAAATTTCCAAATGATGTTTTAGTTTGGAATTGCAAAAACAAAGACATTTTTCAGTTCCTTATCTTCCGCTCAACTTGGTCAAATTTTTTGCGAATGGAAAAGGTGCTGGAGACATTGCTGGTTTTGGGTGAAGAGTGTATTGAAAAGAAGGTAGGCGGCCTTAAAATAGATAGCTTAAAAACAGCTGTAAAAAAGCAGAAAAAATTATAATATATAATTACAGCTATGCCTAGTCGGGCAGTACGTAACCACACCCGATACAAAATACATCATGGAGGACCGCGTGGGGATCGACCCGAATGAGTTTATCAAGTAGGCCCCGGCAAAAAGCTAAAAACGCCCTATTTCAGGTATATCAAGTCCCAGATCAACAACATCTTTGCCGATCTGGCCGTCCCGTTGATGGTCATCGCGCCCGAACCCCTTGAATTTGTCTATCTGCTCGCAATGTCGGCATGGAATATTGATGGTTGGTTTTTGGAATTTCTATTGAAAATTATAAATCAATAGTTATTTATATACTATTTTCTATATCAGGCCGTGGGGTAACGCCAGAGACGGTGCGCGTCGCCGACACCTACCGCGAGCGCATCTCCGCCGAACTGCACGACTACTACGTACACTCTAAGGGCGTATCCAACTATGCGCATCGTCTCATCCAACTCCACGAGATTATCATCAACAATGAGGTTTGTTTATAACGTCCCGCTTGAAAGCGCTGATTTTCAGAAAATCCAGCAGGACCGCAGCCAGATGATGCACATGATGCGCATCTTCGACGTGTTCAACTTTGAGATACCGAACAATTCGCTGTTTGATATTGACCGGATGTGATAATAATTGCATTTTGTGATAAATCGTACACTAATGAGTGTAGTACTCTGTAACAAAATTGTGGTAAAAAACTACGTTATAAAAAAAGGGGATAACAGTGGATGTAGTGGAAAATTGTGCTAATTTTTTCATTCTCGCTTTCTACGTTTTTGCCTGGCTCTCACTCTTTCTTTCTCTCTCTCGCTCTCTCTCGCTCTCTCTCTCTCGCTTCCCCGCAAAAAATTTCCGCAAATTCGTAGTGTTGTGTGTTTTTGTGACTGCTTTTATCGCTAGTCGACCCGGGTGGTCTGGTGCCTCTCATACTTCCACGCTCTCTCCCCCTTCCCCCAATCCCTTCAACCGAGTCTCGGCCCGACTATTGGCACACACTTCTACTCCAAATATTGATCCTGAAAAACGGCGATCACCTCCGAATTTTTGGAACAATTCCCGGCCAAAACTCCGTACATTTCTCTAAATTCCGGTCGAACCGTCTTACTTTTCCTAAAACTTGCCCTTTTCCGTTTGTTGCATCATTTTTATGGTTTGTGACCATTTTTGGAGTGTGTCCAAGGCTACGGTATTGTCATCCTTACGTGGTTTTTACGATTTTGTAGATTTAGCTTGGTTTGAATAGTTTAAAATGACTTTTCAGACTTTTTGGGCTTCTGTCCAGCGGAATTGGGTTGTATATCGTCTATTACCGTGGCTTCACTGGCCCTTGAATACCGAATTTCCGCATAAATACAGCTTACGAATAGTACGTTTGCAATATTTGTTTTAAAAAAATCGTTTACCTTTTCGGGGCGCGATCCCTCAATTTCGGCCGAGCGGTAACCTTTCGCGTAGCCCTGAACCAATTTGTAATTCCATCTGTGCGCGGTCTTCTTTGTTTCTTTCTCTCTGTCTCTCTCTCTCTCTCTCTCTCTCTCTCTCTCTCTCTCTCTTTCTCTCTCTCTTTCCGGCTAGCCTAGCGTCACCTGGAAACAAGAGCTCCAAGGGCTTCTCGAGCCGCGCCGGCTTCATCCAATTTCCCTGACGACCAAATGTTGTGCATTGTAGTGTTCATATTTTAATTATAATTGTTTTAAAAAATTATCGTCATCGATATGCAATTTATGGTCCATTATTTAGGATGGAAGGGCTGGACACCGATCTGGAGTACATTGAGGTGACGGTGGCCGATGAATTTGTGAGTTTTTGGAGGCGTTAAGAGTAAATAGCCGTAGTTTTCTGTACACTAAACGAGTGAATACTTGTAATTATTGTAGCTTGGCATAATATGGTACTTTACGAGACTTTAAATGCTTTATAAAAAATATTGAATTAAGGTAGCCTAAATCGAAGCCTTCCCTACTGGCCTCAGACAATGATGAATTCCATAATGCGCACCTAATTTCCCGAGGGAAAGTATTAATTTCCCCCTGCCTCGGTCCCGCCCCGAAATCAGTACGTTATGGTACAAAAATACATACATTGTACTCTCTCTCTCTCTCTCTCTCTCTCTCTCTCTCTCTAACTCTCTCGCTTTCCCTCTCTCTCTTTCTCTCTCTCCATCCACTTGTAGTCCGTTCCGTCGCACACCTCCAAACGGAAAGGGGCGTCGTGATGAAATTGCGAAACCGTCGGCGCGCCCGCCCCCCAGCTAGTCGACTAGCCACCCCGGGAAAGACCGCAGATTACGCTGGCCGTCGATAGGAGTGTGGTGAAATTACGAATATCACCTTGTCGATAGCATCAATTCGTACGCGCAGGCGTTGCTAAGAGCCACGCAGAAATTCGATCGGCAGAATTGAGGCTGAAAGGGGGCTATCGTACCTATATTCTGACCCGGCTACAGTATCCCTTTACTACCGTATCCATTCGGAATGTTTGAAGATCTTGATCTCATCGAACCGACGTTGTATTCGGGTTTTGACGTTGCTGAAGATTGGCTAAAGGTGCTTTGGGAAATTTTATGGGGGTGTTTTGGACGGTTCGGGGTTACGCTGCGTAAACATCGCGCTGTTGACGCGCTGCCTTGCGGGAGCTTTACTACTGCGCTTGAAGAGCGTTGCGTATAACAAACGTTTTGAACGTACCGCGGGCGCGTAGCATCTACTAGTTTCTACTTTGCGCGGCCGAAGTATAATTATTACCGATTTTAGTAAGCCTTGACCAATCCTACTTTCCAGCCGTCCGGCTCCGAGTTGACGTCGGTATGCGCTATCTGCCTCCACCCGGCCCATGGCATCCATTTTGGCGTGATGACCTGCCGGGCGTGTGCCGCTTTTTTCAGAAGGTACTGGCTTAAAAATCATGTAAAATTATTGCATTTAATTTTGGCAACAATTAACTTTAATTATGTCTTTAAATCCCATTTAATTGTTCAGAACGGTGGTGCTCGACAAGAAGTACGCGTGCAAACAGAATGACGGCAAATGCGACTTTGGGCCAGGTACGTTCCATTACAGTACCCCAAAATATGAGATTTTCACCCAGAAATTCGTCAAATTTGCCGAGCCTGCCGCTACGATAAATGTCTGGAAGTGGGGATGACGGCGGATAGTACGTTTTTAAGGCGTTGCGGTAGTCTAACCAACTTTTTGGTTTTTTTTTTGAGACTCTGTGATGGTCGGGCAAACTAGCAGAGATTATTTGGGGATTTTTCAAAATTTGGTGGAGCAATCCCTTTAAAGGGACCTTCACGTGATTTCGACCCACTTGTCAGGCCTAGTCCTCGACAAATACGCCAGACACCAAATTACGTATACAACCTGTGATTATAGCGACGCGTAGCTGATGACACCAAGTCGATCGTGATTTTAGCGCGTTTTTGATCTTTATGTGTGGATTGAAGGGCAAGCTAACTTCCTTTGAGATAAAATCAGCGCAATCTAGCAATCTAGAAAGAGTAAAATGGGTAACTACGTGGCACACCAAATGGCGTATAAAAACCGTCAGTTGTTGCAACACGTAGCTGTAGCTGTAATTTCGCACTTAGGGGTTGGAAATCATGACTCCTAGACCCATTCAAAGCTCTTTTCGAGTGGGCAACCTAGGATAAATCCTTTGCGTGGTGACGCTACCCCCAAAAACCCCATTTTCTAGACGTTCAATGGAATCGGGATCGTTTGTGCAACGCAACGCGGATGGACACGTTGGAGAAGAGTGATGGAGGGCGGACGATAGAAGATCCACACCCGACTGACTACCCTCCACAACAGACCACCATCGTCCATAGGCCCATCCCGTCGTTGCCGAACCCCGTGCTCAGCCCAGAGTTGGCGCTTGCCAATTTGAAGGCCCCGAAAGCGAAGGTATGGGTTATGCATTAAAGATATAAAAAATAATAGAAAATGCTGATTTCCGGCCAAAAAGCCATAAAAAAGACTCTTGATGGGATCGAACCCGGGTCCTTCGCTTACGAAACTAGAACACTACCAATAGACCATCCCGATCGGAAAAAAATTTAGCTTTCCCCTGTAAAACTCTAAAAAAAAATTAAGTTCTTAGGTTTTTCTTGCCCAAACTGCTCGTCTTCCATCTCTTATCACTTATTTTTTTCAGCGCCCCGTCCCGCCCCACCTTCTCGAGCTCATTAACGAACTACAAGAGGTGCCCAAAATGCTCGAGCGGATATTCATGCAGGTAAATTTCAGCGGGTTGTCAAAAAGTACTGTTTCGTACTCCCCCGTCATAAAAGTCCGTATTTTCAGACAGCTCCGATGGAGGTGATTTCGCCATTTCCGCTGACCGCTCTGCAGCGGATGGCTGTGGCCACGGAGAGAATGAGGGGGCCACTTCCCACAAATCCACCGGTAGGTCCAGCCCTCCCCGATTCCTCAAAAAATCTCTGCTAGCCTGCCCTCTCTCAATTCCTCAAAGAATCTCTGCTGGCCTGCCCTCTCCCAATTCCTCAAAGAATCTCTGCTAGCCTGCCCTCTCCCAATTCCTCAAATAAACTCTGCTAGCCTGCCCTCTCCCATTTCCTCAAAGAATCTCTGCTAGCCTGCCCTCTCCCAATTCCTCAAATAAACTCTGCTAGCCTGCCCTCTCCCATTTCCTCAAAGAATCTCTGCTAGCTGCCCTCTCCCAATTCCTCAAAGAATCTCTGCTAGCCTGCCCTCTCCCAATTCCTCAAATAAACTCTGCTAGCCTGCCCTCTCCCATTTCCTCAAAGAATCTCTGCTAGCCTGCCCTCTCCCAATTCCTCAAATAAACTCTGCTAGCCTGCCCTCTCCCATTTCCTCAAAAGAATCTCTGCTAGCTGCCCTCTCCCAATTCCTCAAAGAATCTCTGCTAGCCTGCCCTCTCCCAATTCCTCAAATAAACTCTGCTAGCCTGCCCTCTCCCATTTCCTCAAAGAATCTCTGCTACCCGCCCTCGCCCAATTGCTCAATTCTAGCTACACAAATTGCCGCCTTTAGTTCGTTGAATTTTCTAGGCTTGCCACAACATCGAGATGGAGTTCTTCCTCCGCAGCATCATCAAAAAGAAGCGCCAGGCCGCCGAATGGATGATGCACTGCGAAGAATTCGCGCGGTTGCCACTCGAAGAAAAGGTATAAAATTGGCTAGATATCTTGAAGCCCGAGCCGTAAGCTCAACTAATACTCAGCCTAAGCTTAAGTCTGAACTTAAAAAGTACACCAAGTTTCAGCTGAAAATCTATGAAACGGCCTGTATGTATTTGGCCCGCCTTGAGAAGGTCGCCCAGCCACTGACCGTATTTGGGGTGGAAGCTATCAATAATCGGGTGAGTTTGAGTGCTGGATATTTGCGTCTCTCTCTCTCTCTCTCTCTCTCTCTCTCTCTCTCTTTCTCTTTCTCTCTCTCTCTCTCCTCTCTCTTTCTCCCTCTATTTTTCTCTCTCTGTCTCTCTGTCTCTATTTCTCTCTCTCATCAAAGCTTTTGTAGTGGATGCTGATGGCCGATCGTCTGATCACCCCGTTCACCATGTTCAACGTCGCGGGGCTGAGCGACTATAGTAATGAGGAGATTATGCGGTATGTTTCGTGCATTAATAGGATGAATCCGGATACTTTCAATGCATCGCGTTTGCGTCGCGGCCCCAACTCCGCCTTAGAACCCTCTTTTTCCAGCTTCTTCCACCCGCACATGGAGAGTATGTTCGAGGATCTCGGGCGTCCACTTGCCGAAGTTGCGCCAGCCCCGCTCGAGTACATCTACATCTTGTGTTCAACGATGTGGAATGTTGATGGTGGGATAGCAGAGATTATTTGACTGCAGAAATGAGTCCGAATGCGTACGCTATGCACACGCGACGCGTTCAAAAACTATATATTAGTTTTAGACCAATTTAAACAATTTTTTAGGCCAAAACGTAATGCCGGAGACGTTACGCGTCGCCGACCTATACCGCGAGCGCATCTCCGCAGAGCTACACGACTACTATGTACACTCAAGAGGAATGGAGAACTATGCGCACAGATTAATGCAACTACGATCTGTCATGAACGCTAATGATGTGGGTGTTGGCATGCTAGCAAAGAATCTTTGAGGAATTGGGAGAGGGCAGGCTAGCAGAGATTCTTTGAGGAATTGGGAGAGGGCAGGCTAGCAGAGATTCTTTGAGGAATTGGGAGAGGGCAGGCTAGCAGAGATTCTTTGAGGAACGGGAGCAGCCTAGCACCTATTGTTGGAGGTTCAATGAATTCTATTGTTCGCTATTTCCAGCGTCATCAACAAGAGCGCAGCGACCTATTCTTCCTCTTCCAACTCTTCGACGTCTTCTACATTGATATCCCGCTTTGTGGCGGCAAAGACACCAACAAAATCTAACCCCGAACAATCCTGTATATATCGTTTTATCGTTGCTGAAATGAATGCATTTTGTAGAAATGAATGATTGAAGATTACTTAAGATGGTTTCAGACATTCTAAAAAACATTTCCACCCAAAATGACATGTTTTAAAAGCCGTATTCTAGCGGATTTAGCGAGAGGATCGTTTAGAGGATTGCTGCCGATTCTGTGTATCCGACCAGGTTCAGCCAAAATCCCGACAGCCAAATTCCGGGCCTATCTGTGACGCCGGTTTTAATGCCACTTCGTTTTGTGCATGTCGGCATTTTCACTGTCGGCGTTATGGCCTGTCGGGATTTTCGCTGGCGGGATTCTGACTGTCGGTATTTTGGCTGACCGTATTTGGCCTGTCTCTATTTCGGGAAATCGGGATTATGACCGTCGGTATTTTGATTTTCGGGATTTGGGCTGTCCGGATTTGGGCTGTCGGGTTCTTCCTGTCGGGATTTTAGCTTTCGGCATTTTTGATGTCGGCCTTTTGGGCTTCCAGGATCCTACCTTTCGGGATTATATCAATCTGTCGGGATTTTGGCTGCCGGGCTGATGGCTGACAGGTTCTTCCTGTCGAGGTTTTAGCTGTCGGCATTTTTGCTGTCGGCATTTTGGCTTCCAGGGTCATATCTGTCGGGATTATTTCGGTCTGTCGGGATTTTGGCTGTCGGGCTGTCGGGATTTTGGTATTTTGCATATCCGACCTTTCGCACCACATTAGCTCCAAATCTCGCGGCGCCGAGCTTACCCTCAACCATTTTCGAGGCTTCAAATCCAAAGTTACTAACACTGAATGTATTCTCAACAATATTCTTACATATTTCATAGTCCGTTTCCGCAATTTCTGGTAGCGGAAGTTGCTCCCCTCATCCATCATCACACCCTCCCCCAATCCAGGCCCCCCTTCCACCCCTGCCAAAAATATCCGGCCCCTCAAAATCGAAATTCCACCCGGCGCGCACGCCCTTGCTGTCGATTTGGTCGTATTTTGTGTTCTGTCAGAGACAAGCAACAAAAAGACCCATTATTTGTCGCGAGACCGAGAGATCAACGCGCGTTTTGCCGAGTGTGGCTCTCCCTTTCGACATAATTTTGAGTCACTGCTGTCCCGCCTGCTAGTAGTAGTTCATTTCAGCATAGCTTTCGGGTTCGCGTTTCAAAATATAGTATTTTTCCCGTTTCCACGCGAGTTTTCTGGTTTTTCTATATATCATTTCTGAAACGCACTTCCTAAGAATGAAGTAATGTAGGAATTTTAAGGGAAATTTTATACTTTAACGAAATAAATGCTAAATTCCTGAGTTTTCGGGGTAAAACGTGTACAGCGTAGCGTCGCGTCTCCAAAATAGACCACTCTGGGCTCCTTTTCACAAGCTACGTTCTGCACTCTATGCAGTTCGCTTTTTGCCCTAATTTTGTTTCGTTTTGGCTTTAAAATGTGATTTAAATGGAATAAGGCTTAATAATATTGTATTTGCTACATTTTTCTATGTAGCAAATCATAAGAAAGTATGTTAGAGGATTGGACCAAGCTTTTGCTTCTAAAACTTTTAAAACACGGTAAAAGTCCTTAATAAAATTGATTTTCGGTCTTCTAGATTTTTAAGCTATAAATAAATATAAATATTTACTCCACAACATCTTGAATTTCTCTGGCCTCGTGGCGACCCCCTACTCCAGTATTGGCCCGAGTCCAAAGGGCGATAAGAACGGACCGGGGGCCGGTGAAATCGGGGCTCGGCAGCGGTGATTCTTTTGTGATTTCGTGCGGACTGTTTGCTCCCGCTTCCCCTCACAGCACCAATCACAACTCGTCGACCCCGCCGTCCACACCCAAGGTTTATGGCTTCACGCGGCTCCCCCCGGCCGTTGCAGCCCTTTTTGCTTTTTTGCGCCCCCGGCTTCCCGATGTGTTGCCAAAAAGCCATCGCTCCAAGACTCGATATCTATCATTACCAATCTTTTATCATTATTCGTGAGTGGAGTTTATAGTTTTTGAGGTCGGGCCGGGGAGTGGGGCGTCATTTTCTTGCCCTCGTGGCTTTATCTGGGCTTTTGGTTTGGGTTTTTGATAGATTTTTTGGGGTTTTTTTTATGAGAAGTAGTTTCATAGAGACAGGACTTTTACTATAACAGCTTATTAGGGGTTATCCTACTTTTTGTCTCCTTTTTCTCCTCCTTCTACACATACCTGCTTTATCTGGATTGTTTTTAAAGGTTTTTGCCCGTTTTCTTAGCTTTCTGTCCACAACATGACGTAATAAAAGCCAGCTCATTTAGTATTTTGGTTTGTTAGTAGTTTTATCATGCTTCCCACGCCAAAAACAACATTTTTTGATGACTCGCTCTTCCCATAGCGCCCAACGGAGTCACAACCCGGCCTCGAGCATGCCCGCGATCAAAAAAGCCCTATTTCGGATTCCCCAGCCTCTTTCCGTATGTCCGCAGCCACCACGCGAAACAGAACACAAATCAGAACGCGCGCACAAAAGGCATAGATGCAGTCTAGTCGCCCCGGCGGCGCGGTCACATGCCATTTTTCTGTCGCGGTCACAATTTGGGCACAATTTTTGCTCTGTTTGTGCGCCGCCGCGGAAATTCTGCTGCAAAATACCGTTAAAAAACACAGCGCTGCAACCGTTGAGAGTTGGGATGTTTTGGGGAAGCTGCTCTGAGAAGTTATGAATTTCGGCTAGGTAGTTAGGCTTTAGGACTTTTCTGACCCTTTTAGAGCCTACCTTTTTTGTATAAGTCTAGAAATGCCTGGTTTTAATAGTGTTTTGAGTAATATAGAACGACATTTCAATTAGAAAAACGTCTAAAACCCTTAAAAAGTGTCGAAATTTTGGTCAAAACCGGCTATTTCGGTCGAAAATGATATTTTTGATGTTTTAACACAAATTGGTAAAGTTTTGGCGTTTAGGAATAGTTTTTAAAAATTTTGAAAAACTTCTACTATTTATATTTGAAAAATTATATCCCAAGAAAAAGTGACCCCCCCCCCCCCGATAATGCGCAAGAACCTGTTTATTTATCTATCCAGCTAGTTTTCATTTAACCTTTCATAACGCTATTTCATTCCTTTCGTTGTTTTTCGGTTTTCTGGAATTTATAACATTTTTATAGCTTCGGGCGTTCGGCCTCTTATCGCCACCCAACTTCCAGAACATGGACCACCCCGACAAATCGGCCCCCGGGGCCAGCGTCAGCTTCTTACCGGTAAGCCCCTGCCATCCTCTTTCTGACTCCCCTCCCGGCTACCGTACCCTCCCCCCTATATTTCCAGGTTGACCCCGGGTGTGTGGTTTGCGAGGGCCCCGCCCACGGGACTCACTTCGGTGTGCCCGCCTGCCGGGCTTGTGCCGCATTCTTTCGCAGGTATCTATCTATCTATCCATCTTGTACCGTAATCCCCGCTACCGAAATCCGATCCTGGGTCCTGTATAAATTGCTGCGGCGATGAACCCATTCACTAGGTTGCACCTTATGTAGGTGATCAAGCTGTTGCTGTTTTTGAAAAGATTCGGGGCTCACTTTACTGCCTAACTTACTATTTTTTTAGGTGGTTTTAATTGAAAGCTTTCTTGTAATTTACCCGGTTTTAGATATCTATTACCGGCCGAAGGTTTTTTGAAGCTTTAATTTCTAGCTTAAAATCTCCGTTTCAGATAGCTTAGAAAGTTATTTATAGCAGTAGCTCGCTTTAAGGACGCCAGAAAACATTATTCTCTATTAGTATCTGAATCTTGACCTAAAATCTTTTTTTTTGGTTTTTATAGACCTCTAATTACGTTTATTTGTAGGAGCTACGTGCTTGGTCGAGACTACAAATGCAGAAAACAGACCGGCCGTTGCAATATTTCTAAAGGTAGGGGATCTATTACATACTTTATCTTTTTTTTCTGCTGTTAGATACCCGTTTCCTGTGCCGTGGCTGCCGGCTGGAGAAGTGTATCCGGCTTGGAATGACCCCGGATAGTAAGCTATTTCGAAATTTTTCGACGTAGCTTCGCTTAGATGTTCAATGTGACAAGGAAACTCTGCCCGCACCTAGCAAGGCGAGGCCGCAAAAAGCGGAAATGGAGGAGAAGCCCCTCGAATTACCGGAAACGTCCGGAACACCGGATAAGCCGTTTGTCGCGCCGTACTATGAGAAAGAGGTGAAATCTACCTTTTTTTAAAAGTAGTTTTTTGGCTTTTAGGACCCGCCGGAAGTGAAGGTTCAAGCATGCGCGGAAGTGGATCGAATGACGAAGCGGGTAGAGGATATTTTGACGGCTGTAAGTTTTTAATTTTTATTGCTGAGACCCGCAAAGGACGCGTACAACAATGCCGTACAAAGGAGCTCTGCGTAGCCCGTTTGTAACTGACGTAACACACCTATCCACGCGCTAATTCTATTACCCTAAAACCTCGTGTATAGTTCCTCCCCGTGTATAGTTCCGGGTGAAAATTTTCACGTGTACGGGGCGTCCGTAATTCCGTATGAACGTCATTAGGTGTGTTGCGTTTTTTCGCTTTCTTGCAAATAACGCCGCTCACGAATGGTATTTTTGCAATTTTGATGGAATATTTGTTCGTATTTCGACTATTTCCAACAATTTGAGTGGTTTAATTAAAGAAATTGCTGCATCAGGCCCTGAGAACCGGCTCTTTCGGCTTACATAACTTTTGCGCCGAATTGTACCCTACGCGCATTATTTGGTGTCATTTGTATTCGTACGGAACGAAATTGTACCGGACCTATACACGAGGTTTTAGGGTATTTTTTAAGATTGCGCTGTGAAAGAGGGAATCCTTTCAGAAACCGCCCTCCCTGGACACCCCCTTCCACTTGACGGCCCTCCAGAAGATGACCATAGCGACGCAGAAGCTGCGCGCCGGCATCAACCCGAACCCAGAGGTGCTGCCCCACGTCACCCTCTTCACGCCATTCCACCGGTATTGGCAAAAGATGCTGGAGGACTGGGCGACGTGGATGATGCATTGCGACGAGTTCGCGCAGTTGGAGTTGGATCAAAAGGTGGGATGATAGACAGAAAATATGGGTGTTTGGTGGATCCAAGCGTAGGCCGCATGTTTTAAGGTATTTCGCGAGAGTCGCAAGCGACCATTTGTATAGTATTACTTCTATAGTTTCCTTTTTTCATTTAATAAGCTTATTTATACCATGAGATAATTACGTCGTAAATCGTAATTTAAAGTATCAGAACGTAGTTTATATGTAAAAAAGCTATCTTAGCGTCTCATTATATTTTCCGTGCCGAATTTCCTAATTGCCGTTTTTACACGATATTTCAGTTTCTCATCCTCAAACACACATGGTCATCACTAACCCGCCTCGACAAGATCTCAATTTCGATTGATGCCTTTGGCGAGGAGGCAATTTCGAGGAGGGTGCGTTATAGCATTTTACTATTTATTATCTTATTAAATCATTAACGAAGGTTTTAAACGATTATTTTAGAAATGCTACATGACGAAGGATCATTGCGTGACCCGAGATACGACCTTTGACACGTCGGCGGTGAGCACCCTAGATTATCAGGAGTTGTATAGGTGCCTTTTTAATCCATTATCCATAATCCATTTTTATACATTTTTATCCATAATTTTAATACTTTTAAACATAAATACTTTTTATAGATCGGTTGCCCCAATCCTTGAGCAGGCATTTGAAGAGGTGGCACGCCCACTGCTCAACCATAAAGTCACGCATTTCGAGTTTGTGTTCTTGATGTCGTTGTCAATGTGGAATGTGGAGAGTGGGTTTTTACGATGTTTTTTGGGGTTCTTTCGCGTTATCGGGGGGGGGGGCGAATTTTTAATTATGAGGCCAGACATGCCTAGTAATGTATTAATACCTTTTTGAGGTGTTTTGAAACTTCTTTATTTCAATTGGAAAAACTTACAAAACTGAAATTTGGCCAAACCGCCATTTTTATCGAAAAATTCGATGTTTTTTAATTTTTGTACCTTTAATTGGCCTTTACGTAAAGGTAGTAGTTTTGTATCTTTATCGGGCGAGAATTTATTTTTATATGTGTGTTTTTTAGCTTGGGGCGTCTCAGAAGCGACGTTACGCGCCGCGGAAACCTTCCGCGAGCGGATTTCCAACGAACTACACGACTACTATGTACACTCGATGAACGTGACCAACTATGCCTATCGGTTACTGTCGCTGATCTCGATCGTTAGAGCCAACGAGGTAGGTGCAGACGGAAAAATATTAGAAAAACCCGAATCGCATCAAAAAATACACACAAAAACCCTTTCAGAAAGTGCAACAATCGCGCGGGGACCTGCTCCAGATCTTCCGGCTGTTCGACCTTCTTCGCATCGACTTCCCGCCCGGGGAGTTGTTTGACTGGAAGCGGATGTAGACCAAAAATATCGATATTTTCACGCATTTGCACCAATACGAGGTCTAATAAATGATTTGAATTTGGTCCTTAAATCTACAAAAGTACACCAAAAAATATGAAAAAATCCACACCATAATTCCGGATGCGCCCAAATGACGGTCAACTACTCGCTGGCGGCGGCGACCGCAAAATGGACCAACTTCTTCAAGCTGCTCATCCGGTGGAGGGGTAAAGAAGCTTTGAAAACAACTTCCGGATCCTTTACCTGTTTTTAGGATCCCTGTGGAAGCTCGTCATCTTTGAGTACATCGCCTGGCTGTTCTGGACGATCGCCCTGATGCTCCTCGCCGAGTTCTTCGTCCTGGTAGATGACCAACAACCCGCGACAGGGACACACTTTAGGAGACGTCACTGGAGAAGCCGCTGCGCGATCTCACCCACTTTTTCCAACGCAACGACATTGGGACGGGGCTCAGCTTCATGCTCGGCTTCATCACGCCGTACTGCTACCAGCGCTGGTCGGTATTTTAGGTTTTTTTGGGTAAAAAATGTGTGGAAATTGCTGAAAATGTTGAATTTTCAAGTTTTTCATGGCTTTTTGATACAATAAACGGTTAGAGTGCAGTTTACCCCCCCAGCCCTAACTTTTCAGACATACGTCCTATTAATGCGCCGAGTATCTCAAAATGTTCGCCGTGGTCGAATTACTACAAATAAGTTGTTTTCTTGCGGCAAAAATTGCTAAAAAATTTTTTACAAGATTTTGAAAGTTGAAAAGATTAAGCCGCTATGCTTCGATGTACTATGAGTCTAAAACTCAAATATTTTTATTTTCCGCTATTTTTTTCGGCTCAAACGTACTGTAGACTTATTCTCCAGAGCAAGAGCTACATTTTGGTACTATTGACAGCTCTGTACGTCAAAAGATAGCCGAGATACGCACTTTGGAACAGCAAAAATTAACTAAAGAAAACTCAGACTTATAATTGTTATAAAAATTTTTCTAACAATTTTTGATGTAAGAAAACAACTTTTTTATAGTAATTCGACCACGGCGAACATTTTGAGATACTCGGCGCATTAATAGGACGTATGGCTGAAAAGTTAGGGCTGGGGGGGGTAAACGGCACTTAAGCCCAATAAACCTTTAAGACCACGATAAATCAACTCCAAAAAACTATAGAAAATGTCTAGGTAGATACAGACTAGATACCCCCCCGCTAACAATCCAGTACCCTCCATCCAGGATGGACATGTACGTACTCCTCGAATGGCCCGACAACACGGCCCACGTCTTCAACACGTGCGTTCAGGAAGATGCGGTACAAAAACACGAACGTAAAGCATCCTTTTAGCTAACCCCAAAAGAAATGGACAAGCTGCGGAATTGCGTGGCCCGCTACCTGATCCTCGCCTACATCATGTTGATGAGGGACGTCTCCGTCAAGGGCAGGAAAAGGTGCGCGTAAAGACAAACAATCTTACGGATTCTCCCAGATTCCCGACCCTGGAGCACTTGACCCACTACGGCGGCGTCATCACCGGGTTTTTGGCCATGGCTAAAAATGAGCGCAATTTTGTTTAGCGAAGAAAAAGAGCTGCTTGGTGTCGGGCGAATCGGCGCCGGCGATCCGCACTACTGGATCCCCATATGCTGGATAATCACGATGGTCAAGAAGTTCTACGTGTACGTTGAAAAATTTTCCTATAGTAAGTTAATAAAATGTAATTATATATCAAGCGTAATTTTTTAAAAATTTATACTTTTGATCGAAAATCTGTATTTTCTTCTATTTTTTTTACAAAAAGATATAAAGTTTTTTCGTTTGGAAACCATATAAAAAGCTTAGACGCTTCCACTTTGGCAAAGAATCGCCCCCCCCCCCGCCGCTAACGCAAAAGTACCACGCTTTCAGATCGGGTCACGAGCAGAAAAAGGCGAAGAAAGACGCCAAAAAAGTCAAGTCGATCATGACGGAGAAGCATTACAAAGAGTTCATCTACCGGGTATGCCTTTACCGAATCTCTAGTCCTGCCACTAACGATTTTCAGCTACTAAAATATCGCGGCGACCTCGGTGACGTGTTGTCGTTCGATTTTGTGCCGATGCCTTTAGCTCAAACCCAGGTTTTAACCTTTCCTAAACCTACCGATGAATCTGCAGCTGATCACTTTCGTTTCGACGTTGTACGCCATCCTGCTCACCGGCCAGGTGATGGATATGGGCTTCATCGAGCGGTCTTTCCTGCAGCAATCGTTTGTTGTCCCACCGGAAACCATTCAACGCCCCCATTGCTCAGCGTGTGGATCAGCCTCTTTTACGTCTCGCTCAAGCTGCTCATCTACGTGGGCTGGGTGAAGAGCTTTGAGGTCAGAGACTGGGTTTCCCGAGTTTCAAGTCAAATCTAGGTCATCATGAATCCATTCGGCGAGGATGATGACGATTTTGACGTCAGCCAACTGGTGGACAGGTATAATCCGTCTAGGCGATAGCTAGAAAAATCTTAGACATTGGCAGCTGTTGATCCGCGTAATGTTGGACCCGGTGACCGTGCCGCCAATGACGGCAGCCTGCCTTCCGCCCGCTGTCCTGCCACACACCCTTGCCTCCAGGGCCCTGATGCGGTACGTTTTGACTGTTTCCAAGCGCCCAGAGACACCTTCATCCCTACAAACGCCAAATTCTAGAGAACGTGACGACGACCTCCTGCTAAATTCGATGATCCAAGAAGAACTGCTCGCCCAGGGCCAGCTGCCGCACGATGCTCGTGTCTAAACCGCCGCGACAAATTACCATCCAATTATCAAATCTCATCTATCATCCAAAGTCAATAAATACCTTGAACATACGCCCTACTTCCGAGCACAGGCTGGGTGGTTTTGATGATAGCCGCGCTGCTTGGATTGGTCGTTGCGCTGCATGTAATCGCCAGCTGCTCGAAAAAACGCACCAAGGTGGGAAAACATTCTTGAGGCTACGCATCTTCTCACCTTCCAGAAAAGTGAGAGCCGTCGCGTACACCCGGTGGTCGAAATCAAGCCCCGCAAGTACAAGTTGACGCCAAGAGAGGTGGGCGGCAGATGGTGCCTGTGAACCGGAAGTTCCAGGAGAGCATCTCCCAGAAACATATCGTCGTCTCCGAACATGAAAATAGAACAACGGATGATGCCGATTTCAATTGGGAGGAGTAGGTTTGGCAAAGAGCTGCCGAAATTCACACTATTTTCAGGGACCTCGAGGTGATTAAAGAAAAAGAGCGTCGCAACGCCAAGAAACAGCGGAAGAGCCAGGCCAGCAGCGTGCGAGAAGCTCAAGAATGATCGGCCAAAGCCGAACGCCGCCCAAATCACATCTCATTAATGTCAATGTATCGCAAAGAACTGCCAATTTCCGATCTCAAGCGTTGTTATGAACCATTTAATAAATTTTACTCGCCCGCCGAAACGGCGCGAAGCAACGTAACAACATTCAACAACCACGATGACAACATTGAACAACAGTGGGGATCCAGAAAAAGGATAACAGCAGAATGAGAGATGCCGGAAATGGTAAAACACTAGCTGGACAAACGCATATAATAGGTCTCGCCGTTCTTGTTTTGCCGCGGGGTCAGCTTCGTCTCGCCGTTTTCCTAAAGCTTTGTAAACTGCGAGGAAAAGCTGATACCTCATATTCCAACTGCCACTCGTACCATACACCGGTGCTGTCCACTTTTCGATCGATGATCAGGGTAATCTGAAACCTTCGAATTGGACGAGAAGCTAGGTAGCGTTTCTTCAGTAGGATTCAGGTTTACGTTTCTTGGACGTGACACCCGAAGGCAAAAACAAAAATTTATATTTTTTGCCCAAAACTAGCTCTACCAAACTACTTTCGGGTATATGTCGGTTATGCGGGGGGGGGGACAATTTTACGCGGGGGGGACGGGAAAGGCAGGCGTTTTTGGATGTTTCGTTATTTTCTCGGAATTTTTGCAACGGCATTCGATAGAGAATCAAAAAATATACTAAGAGTTTTTGTTTTGGCTCAATTTAGTGTAATATAAAAAAGTTATGGCAAATACAAAAATAAGCTTTGAAAATCGGGTTGAGCGGCTGTTTTTCGACATTCGCGCTATTTTTTTCGACATTTTAAAGATCCCATTCGATAGAGCATCCAAAAATCAACTATAATAATTTTGTTGTGGTCTCCGTCTGTGTGAAGCCGAATTCAACTCGAAGGGGAAAGGAGCTAGAGCTTAGCTCTCTTCGGATTCGGATAGAGCGCCATCAGAAACCCCCAAACTGATAAAAAAATTACGAAAAAGTTTTAGTTTAAATTATTAAAATTAACTTTGAAAGTTTTTTCCTTAGTAAAAGGGGGTGGGGACGGAGGTTGGCATGAATTTCGCATAGTGAACCAGGTGGCGCGCGTTTCGTGGATGAAAATTTTCACGGGGGATTTCATTTCTTTTTTCTCTCATTCCATCCGGTCGGTCGTTATTTTCGTTTTTTAAAAGGATTTCGGCTAGGGGAGGTATTTAAAACTATCAGGAAGGTATTTAGGTAGTTTTTGAAGGGGATTTCAGCCATGGGGGGTATCTGAAGCGATCAGGAAGGTATCTAGGTAGTTTTTGAAGGGGATTTCAGCCATGGGGGGTATCTGAAGCCATCAGGAAGGTATCTAGGTAGTTTTTGAAGGGGATTTCAGCCATGGGGGATATCTGAAGCCATCAGGAAGGTATCTAGGTAGTTTTTGAAGGGGATTTCAGCCATGGGGGGTATCTGAAGCCATCAGGAAGGTATCTAGGTAGTTTTTGAAGGGGATTTCAGCCATGGGGGGTATCTGAAGCCATCAGGAAGGTATCTAGGTAGTTTTTGAAGGGGATTTCAGCCATGGGGGGTATCTGAAGCCATCAGGAAGGTATCTAGGTAGTTTTTGAAGGGATTTCAGCCATGGGGGGTATCTGAAGCCATCAGGAAGGTATCTAGGTAGTTTTTGAAGGGGATTTCAGCCATGGGGGGTATCTGAAGCCATCAGGAAGGTATCTAGGTAGTTTTTGAAGGGGATTTCAGCCATGGGGGGTATCTGAAGCCATCAGGAAGGTATCTAGGTAGTTTTTGAAGGGGATTTCAGCCATGGGGGGTATCTGAAGCCATCAGGAAGGTATCTAGGTAGTTTTTGAAGGGGATTTCAGCCATGGGGGGTATCTGAAGCCATCAGGAAGGTATCTAGGTAGTTTTTGAAGGGGATTTCAGCCATGGGGGGTATCTGAAGCCATCAGGAAGGTATCTAGGTAGTTTTTGAAGGGGATTTCAGCCATGGGGGGTATCTGAAGCCATCAGGAAGGTATCTAGGTAGTTTTTGAAGGGGATTTCAGCCATGGGGGGTATCTGAAGCCATCAGGAAGGTATCTAGGTAGTTTTTGAAGGGGATTTCAGCCATGGGGGTATCTGAAGCCATCAGGAAGGTATCTAGGTAGTTTTTGAAGGGGATTTCAGCCATGGGGGGTATCTGAAGCCATCAGGAAGGTATCTAGGTAGTTTTTGAAGGGGATTTCAGCCATGGGGGGTATCTGAAGCCATCAGGAAGGTATCTAGGTAGTTTTTGAAGGGGATTTCAGCCCAGGGGTGGTATCTGAAGCCATCAGGAAGGTATCTAGGTAGTTTTTGAAGGGGATTTCAGCCCAGGGGTGGTATCTGAAGCCATCAGGAAGGTATCTAGGTAGTTTTTGAAGGGGATTTCAGCCCAGGGGTGGTATCTGAAGCCATCAGGAAGGTATCTAGGTAGTTTTTGAAGGGGATTTCAGCCATGGGGGGTATCTGAAGCCATCAGGAAGGTATCTAGGTAGTTTTTGAAGGGGATTTCAGCCATGGGGGGTATCTGAAGCCATCAGGAAGGTATCTAGGTAGTTTTTGAAGGGGATTTCAGCCATGGGGGGTATCTGAAGCCATCAGGAAGGTATCTAGGTAGTTTTTGAAGGGGATTTCAGCCATGGGGGATATCTGAAGCCATCAGGAAGGTATCTAGGTAGTTTTTGAAGGGGATTTCAGCCATGGGGGGTATCTGAAGCCATCAGGAAGGTATCTAGGTAGTTTTTGAAGGGGATTTCAGCCATGGGGGGTATCTGAAGCCATCAGGAAGGTATCTAGGTAGTTTTTGAAGGGGATTTCAGCCATGGGGGTATCTGAAGCCATCAGGAAGGTATCTAGGTAGTTTTTGAAGGGGATTTCAGCCATGGGGGGTATCTGAAGCCATCAGGAAGGTATCTAGGTAGTTTTTGAAGGGGATTTCAGCCATGGGGGATATCTGAAGCCATCAGGAAGGTATCTAGGTAGTTTTTGAAGGGGATTTCAGCCATGGGGGGTATCTGAAGCCATCAGGAAGGTATCTAGGTAGTTTTTGAAGGGGATTTCAGCCATGGGGGGTATCTGAAGCCATCAGGAAGGTATCTAGGTAGTTTTTGAAGGGGATTTCAGCCATGGGGGTATCTGAAGCCATCAGGAAGGTATCTAGGTAGTTTTTGAAGGGATTTCAGCCATGGGGGTATCTGAAGCCATCAGGAAGGTATCTAGGTAGTTTTTGAAGGGGATTTCAGCCATGGGGGTATCTGAAGCCATCAGGAAGGTATCTAGGTAGTTTTTGAAGGGGATTTCAGCCATGGGGGGTATCTGAAGCCATCAGGAAGGTATCTAGGTAGTTTTTGAAGGGGATTTCAGCCATGGGGGGTATCTGAAGCCATCAGGAAGGTATCTAGGTAGTTTTTGAAGGGGATTTCAGCCATGGGGGGTATCTGAAGCCATCAGGAAGGTATCTAGGTAGTTTTTGAAGGGGATTTCAGCCATGGGGGGTATCTGAAGCCATCAGGAAGGTATCTAGGTAGTTTTTGAAGGGGATTTCAGCCATGGGGGGTATCTGAAGCCATCAGGAAGGTATCTAGGTAGTTTTTGAAGGGGATTTCAGCCATGGGGGGTATCTGAAGCCATCAGGAAGGTATCTAGGTAGTTTTTGAAGGGGATTTCAGCCATGGGGGGTATCTGAAGCCATCAGGAAGGTATCTAGGTAGTTTTTGAAGGGGATTTCAGCCATGGGGGGTATCTGAAGCCATCAGGAAGGTATCTAGGTAGTTTTTGAACGGGATTTCGGCTATGGGGGGTATTGATGGAGGTGGGAAAGGATGTGGTGGAGTCGGACATGTAGGGTAGCCCGAAGGCCAGATGGTTGCAGTCGCGAAGCGACTGTAACCATCTGGTATACTATGAGTTTTAATTTTAGCTCAAAATAATGTAATATAAAATAGTTATGACAAAACAAGTATTAAACGTTGTTTCCATGAAGGACATAGAAGGAAATCAAGTTTTCGACATTTTCGACATTTTTACAAAATTTCTTTAGTGCCATTCGACAGATCGTCGAAAAATATACGAAGAGTTTTGTTTGTAGCAAAAAGAAACGCAAAAAAATAGTTAGCTCAGTCCCAACAGTCCGTCCCCCCCCCCGCGTAAAATTTTCCCCCCCGCGTAGCCGACATATACCCTACTTTCGCCCAATATTTCAAATTTTTAGTAGATTATTAAAGTCTTTTGAATAGCTTTTCCAATAAAGTATAACTAAATTGTAATAAAACATGATTCAAAAGTTGGCTATGATGTCACTATAAAGAAAGAATTCGGATTCCCCAATCGTCGTCCGACATACTAAAAACCGGAAGATCAGCCCACCTTATCGCCACTGTTCACCCGATGCATCTTACGCAGCGGCAACAGCGCCGGGAACCAGCTGATCAACCCCGGCGAGTGGGAGGACGGCTCGATTGACAGCTCCACATCTTTGTAAAGCGTCATCCGGAAATAACCAGCAAAGCCCATTATCTAAAATAGTGGCACCTATTTGGAAAAATCGCGAAATTCACTTACATCCACATTCATCCCCACTTCAAACGGGATTCGCTGGCTGCGCTCATTCGACGCGCCGGTGAAGTTGGGGTGGTCGAAGGTGAACACGGGCATCGGGTTCGCAATCAGGGTAGCGGATTTGAGGAAAACCACGTAGACCTGGTCCATGATTGACGCAGTGTCGGTTCTGGAAATGTTATCATTTATCATCGTCGGAAAATAGGGCTCTGATGGCTCATATTCTATCGAAATGCGTCATGGTGAAAAGTAGAACTCGTAATTGCACGATAGCGAAATCTTAATATGTCGAATTTCCCCGGATACGGCTACCCTAATGAAAACACTACCGGAAAATGCGTGATGCCAAAATTTTTCCAAATTGAAAACTTTTACATTGTGGAATTTCCACATTAACAATCCGCACATTTTGAACATAAATCTTAATAACCCCTTACTTGCTCTCATAAATCCAGCTCCCGTCTTCCTGCTCCACCGGAAGCTGCCGACCGTGATTGCCCATCCCCTGCGACCAATGACAACGGGATCCGTTGATTACAGACTGGTACATGTACGTCGAGTGGATTGGGGCTACAAAACGCTCTCCGATAAATAAAGGCAAACTCACTGATGTAATTCGTGTAAGACTGTGGAATGGAGATAGTTTTCGGCTTTAGGATCCCCGAAACGCCGTCTAGGCATTCGGGCGACAGCTCGTTGTCGCCAAACGATCCGAGCAATTCGGATACCTAGAATGTTCTTTGCTTATGAGCGCAACCCTAAAAACCCACAATAATGTCCGGTTTCTCCAATTCCAGCTGCTCTACCTTCTCTTCCAGTGAACGCATATCCGATTCGACGATCGTACAGCTGCCCTGCCAACTGATAGAAAAAGAATTAAAGTTCGACAAATTAGACGTACGCTCGCTCGTTGCAAAAACGCAGCGTGACGATAGCATTTGGGTTCTTCTCCACGACGACAATGTTGGGCCGCAGCAGATTGTGTCGCGTGCGGTGTTTCTTGTTAAATTCGCGGAAAGCCTCGATACTTGCGGAAACCTGAGAAAAAGTGAATCCATTTTAAAAATTGTAAAATTCGCCTACTAATGGCCCTCGCCCGGCACCCAACACGTAGAGAGTGAGGTCATCGCCGAAGGACGGAACCTCTGCGATATCCTTGATGGCGAGAAAGATGGCGTCCCGGTAACTGAAGTAATTGAATCAAAATAAGGACAATATTAAATCACTATCTTGCTGGGATAGTTGTTGGAATCAATTCACGGGAAAAATAACAATATGCTCACCGGGTGTACTTGCAAGGATCCTGCTCGAACGTATTGTAAACACCAGAATCGAGGTTGTCCGATAGCGGTTGGAGAGGCATCTAGATGGATATAAAATAAAAAGCTCAAAAATAAAGCAACCTGCAACACATCCGTATAATCAATTGAACCGTCGGCCAAATAGCCGACATCTGTGAAACCGCGAATCTGGTAAGCACAATTGGAAACGACCGCTCGGAGCGCAGTCGCCATTTGCGTCAGTGTTTCCGACGGAAGCTGAATTGGAGCATAAAACTGAAATAAGTTCTTCACGAACCTCACGGTCATCCGGCCCACGAACCACAACGCGAGACTGGTCTTTCACCCAGAGCGCAGACAGCAACGTCGAGTGAGCACTAGAAAACGAATAAGCCAATAAGTAGAAAAGCCTACTGCGAAAGTCCAACAGCTCCTGTCTCTGGCATGTTGAGGAAAACTTCCGAATCCACCCAAAAAGCAGCCAGCTAAAAAACAAGCTTAATCCGAAAGCCAGACACTTACAGGTTCGCCTCTCCAACGCGAGACTCGTGCCCCATCCAAAAACTCTTCTTCCACATCCGTACACAGCCGTAGGCCCACGTTTAGCTTCTTCATATGGAAGTTGTTGCAGAGTGTGCGGAAATCCGACCAAATCGTCCAGATGTCTGTCGGGTCACCGGAGTTGATGATTATGTTGTCGGAAGACGTTGGGACAAATATCCAAAAACTAAAAAATCCCTGGTTGCCGAGGAAAAGCAAAGTTTGCAAACCTGAGACTGGTATTCTTCGTCCACATCCATTTACGTAAAACAGCAGCGAGCCGAGGGGAGGAAGCCCGTTTCAACGGGATTGTGAAATTCCGAAGGCCGAGATAGCAAGCGTAGTTGATTTCCTGAAATGATAGTCAACACAGGAAACGCTCTCGAACCTTTAAAATTTCCTTCTCGCTCAGGGCCGCCAATTTCTCGTCATCAGCGTCACAATCGATCCATGCGCTGACTTGACCGTTTACATAACTAAATCAAGATTCCAAGTGGGTTCAAAATTCTCTTACGTCTCCCACAGATGGTTTTGCAGCTGCAAATCGGGGAGACTGATCGGCGGCGGATTATAATCGTTGCTAAAAAGGTGCAGATAATTTAATTTGCGCTACCTTTTCGGCTCCCAGAAACCACGTACAGCTCCTCCGACCGGATAGCAGACGAAATTGTAGAGCTTGCAACCGAGGCGCTGGCTGTAAGTCGAGATCTATATGACTCTGCGGTTAGTTTTCTGTAGACGATGAAATCACCGAAGTATCGTAGAGGGGCTTCGCATCTGCTGGCCCGGAGAGCCACCCCACGTTTATCCGTGTCCTCGCCTCCGTGAAACAAGATGGATCCGGCAGAAAATCATTGTTGCCAGTGTTCACGGTGGCTGGGGTCGACGGCGGCGACAGTGGCTGTAGGCACTAAACGAGATTTTTCAATCGCTGTGAAAATAGGCGCTGCAGCGCTGTTATAAAGGAACCTAACGTTCCCAAACAAATTTGGCAAAACCTACCGGATGTCCCTTGCCCATTTTTTCGTCGTCGGCGATTGCGCCTAGATGGATCATCATAAAAATCATTTTACTATTTTCGATAGCGTGAGCGAACCAGAGTAGGGCACGGAGGACGAGTAATCTAACGTTTATTCCTAATCTGTGCAAAAAAGGCAAAACAATAATGGCTTTTCACATCGACTTGAGCTTTGCTTCGAGATCGGCACTTCGCGTTCGGAGAGCTTTTTCAATGAGCGTTTCGACGAACGGGTCAGACCTGGCGACGTCGTTTTGCTTTATTGGTGGGAAGGGATTTCCTGTAAGTCACGAGAATGTCATGCGATCGATAAAAACGCACCATCAATTTCTAGAACGCCGATTTGGTAATGCTTCCAATGGGGTCGCCCTCCACGCAATCGCTGCGTCAGCAACTGATCGGGCAGCCGGAACAATGACGTATAAGGGCCCTCAGCTTCTTTAAAACGCGGAACAATAACCTAAAATGGAGATAGGTCGGCATTGCAAAAACCTACTTTATACATTTTCTCGACCAGATCCTTCTCCAGCAACCACCAATCCATCATGCGATTTGTGTACTCATCGCGCTGCCCATCATTCACAGCAAGTTGGATCAGCTAGAAACGATAAAGCCTTTTTTAAAGGTCCTACCCTTTCTGTGTACTGTCTAGCTTCGACAGCACGGTTATACTTCAGCTCGACTCGCTCCTCGCGTACCAACCGAGTAACAATTTGACGTAGGATTTCAAGTCTAAACGAAGTTGCCCAGAAGAACGAGGGCTAAATTACCTAGCTCGGCCTGGTGGGAAAACAGTGTCTTTCAAACGTTGAGGGATGTGGCCGACGGTGACTTTTATCTTTGGCAGCGTCGCACCAACGCGTGAGGTGGCCATCCTGAAAATAAATATATGGATGTGATTGAAGCAAACTAAAACGTTTTACGACCTGGAAAGAGAAGCAGGTATGCTCGAAAAGGCAGCCATAAAAACTCTCAGCCAATTCCACCGAACTATGGGTCATAAAATTAATTTTTAAAAAGCAAATCTAATTTTTAATATAGATAAACGCAGAATTTAGAAATTTTATCAAAACAATTTTTGGCATTTCATTTTACCGGCAGCCATTTTCCTGTGTGTTGCCGCCCACTTGCTAAACCGTGGTTAGTTAGGCGCGTTGCGTAGCCCTTTTTGAAGCTTCGCTCATCGGTATTCTGTTTTCGTGATCGCTCTAAAATTGTTTATTTTATTCAAAATTAAGACAAATCCTTATAAATTAATACGCGAAACTCAATTCAACTTTCAGAAAGGCCAACGGCCCCCCAGCTCTCACAACATCATGGAAGTTGATGGAGAAGATAGTAACCCGCCAGCGCGGGGTCTGAAAGACAAACTTGAGGTCGACTAAATGTTTGAAATTGTAGTTCTTGCTTTTCAGGCGGACCTCGAGAAGGAGAATGGCGCGAGCGGCGACGGAAAACACGATCGCAGCCGGTTAGTTTTCGTTGGCCTTCCGCTTACCTCCTCGTTCTGCGCTTGTACTCTTTCTACATTTGTAGACATTCTCTGATTCCCGTTGGGACGTGAAAATCTGGCCATGCGGTCCCGCACTCATTCAGAATGGTGAATCCGACAGAGGTACGCCACCAATGGTCCACGTTTTGAGCCTTTCAACGGGCCCGCCACTACCTTTCGGCCTCTAAAGTTTTGGACGTTTTGGAAATCAAAAATTTGGCGGGCTCGTAGATTTACAGGCTTGACGTGTGGCTAGTGTGGCGCGAAGAGACGTGTCCAGCGCATCCCCATCACTTACGAGAACCCGAAAAATATTTCTTTGACAATTTCAGGCCTCCGTTCCCGGGTTCAGCGTAAAATTTGATTTTTGAAGAGCTTTCCTGGGGCGTACTATATTGGACCGTTTAGGGATCGCTCGAAATCGAGGGAGAAGGACAAGAAACGGAAGCGTAGCCACAGCCGCGATAGGAAGAAGAGATCCCGTTCCAGGAAACGCTCTCGTTCGCGTGATCGCCGTCGCAGCAAGTCCAAGGACCGCAAGAAGCGCAGCCGTTCTAGAAGCCGCAAGCGGTATATTCTTAGTAGTTCCCAATTTTTGTTTCAGGTCCCGCTCTCGTGATCGCCGTCGTTCGCGCAGCCGTGACCGCCGTCGTAGCCGTTCCAGCGGCCGAGGTGGTGGTCGTCGAAGCCGATCGAGGGATCGTCGAGACAGCCGTAGACGTTCACCAGTTAGGCCGCGGGTCATAGATCATCGCCGCTCGCCGCCTCGGAGGTTGGTTTGTTTACGGATAAAACATGTTACAATACTACGTCCTTTATTTTTTTTATCTATTTGCCTTTCTTAGAAGTCCTGGTCCGGTTCGCAGGCTGCCCGGCCCCGAGCGCCGTGATGTCATGCCATTCGAGCCCAGCGGTAGCCCTCCCCCTGGTGTCGACAAGAATATGACAGCTGAGGAGCGGTTGGGCTTTATTTCGTTTCATATTCTTTTTATTTTAGAGATCAACGTACCATCTTCATCCTACAAATCGCCCGCACCACTCGACCGCGCGACATGGAGGAGTTCTTCTCGTCAGTCGGTAGTGTGCGTGACGTGCGCATTATTACAGACAGTCGTACTCGACGCAGCAAGGTTAGCGTATTGTTTTGTTGGCATTGAGACTTGTTTTAGGGTATCGGCTATGTCGAGTTCTGGGAAGAAGATTCGGTACCTTTGGCCTTGGCGCTCAATGGGCAAAAGCTGCTGGGTAAGCATCATTTCTTGCATCTGAATTCGGAATTCTAGGAGCTCCGCTCGTTATCCAACGTACGTGTGCCGAACGCAATCGCGCAGCTGCCGCAAGTGCTACGATAGGAGGAGCCCTCGGCTTCGGTGCGAACAACAAGGGGCCCGTCAAGCTTTGCGTGTCGCAGCTTCATCCCCTCGTCGATGACACGATGCTCTCTGGAATTTTCGACCCGTTCGGACGTATCGAGGAGATGAACATGGAGACTGACGCTCATGGTCAACGCACCGGAACAGCATTCATCACGGTATTTTCCTCGTATCTATCATGATTGCCGTTTAGTTCAAATATGCCGAGGATGCCACAAAGGCCATCGAACAGCTGAATGGTTTCGAGGTGGCCGGCACTTCAATGAAGGTCGTTGCTTGCGAGGGCCCGTCTTCTGATCAGGCCGCCCCTGTTTCGATGCCCGGATTAGGTCACCCAAGTCAGGCAAACTATGGCCAGCAGCCAGGTATGAACTTTTTGTGAGCAAAACATGAATTTTCCTTTCAGATATGGGCTACAATAGCATGCCGCAGGAAGAACTGGGCCCGGATGTGCCGAATATTGCCACCCACTGTTTTATGCTAACAAACATGTTCGACCCGACGAAGGAGTCTCAACATGGTTGGGAGCACGAGGTCCGGGACGATGTCATCGAGGAATGCAGCCGTTGGGGAGGTTTGTGATACTTGTGGATAACTGTTCTTCGTGTATGTATTTTTAAACGCTGTGTCTTTAGGCGCCGTGCACGTCTACGTCGATAAGGGTTCGCACGAGGGCAACGTCTACGTAAAATGCAATTCGATCTCGGTTTCGCACAAATGCGTCCAGGCCCTGCACGGACGTTTCTTCTCTGGCAAGGTATGTTGGCATTTTGGTGGATAGAACGAAAAAATTAGGTGATCACCGCCAACTACGTTCCCCTGCAATCCTACCACGACTTATTCCCAGACAGCGCCCGCATGACGAGCGTCCTGGTCCCAAGCACCGGCTACTAAAGAACCCAGCGAATAAAGTCACCCATCCCGTTGTTGTTTACATTGCCCCCTTCCCACATGATCTTCACGCCGTTGGTCATATCTGCATGCGTCGGCTTCTCTAAAGTTTATTATACTTTTCGTTTGTGCTGGCCTATAATTTCTTATACTTTATTCCACGTTGTCACCGGTTCAGGGGCATTCGCCCAAAAATATTTCTTTTAAGTTGTTCGTTTACAAGTCTCAATAATTTGTCGGTCCAAATGTTTCATTGCGGGGCAGACAATATTGACTGAACGATTCCTAGAAATTGGGTCCAGGCGAACACAATGATGAGCAAATGAACGTTTGTCAAATGGTGATATGTGCTTGAAAAATCTGGGGAGATCAGGGGTGTGGATGAAGTCTGGGTTACACCATCACTTCGTGCTTCACAGATAAGCGTTTCTTTAGGCTGCTTGTTGAGAATTCGCCGATGAAAGCGGACAAATGATTGCGCAATTCTCTGTTGCAAGCCCAGTAGATCGGGAGGCGGAAGGAGGTGGCAGCGGTGGTCAGGATCGACGAGATGTCGGCCAAGTATCTGAAATGCCGGGTATTTAGCGTTCTCCATGATTTCTGGCTGACCTATACGCGGTGCCAAAACCACCCGCTAGGCCATCCCGGTCGATGTATTCCCAGAACGTCAACGTCGCGTTGATCAGGTTTGAGAAGAGGTACACCTGAATAATTCTCGGGTGGCCCGGTTTTCTTGGACTCACCGAAACAAGCGCGAAAAGTGTGTAAGTGGCATCACGCTTGCGCTCGCGCGTGACGAGCGCTTGTTGGGCGTCTTGCGGAAGTAGCATTGTCGGGCCCTAAACTTTGAATTTGGGGTGGTTTATGGGTATTGATCAAGCGGAACTCAATTGATGATCATTATGGCCAAACTGCAGATACAGACTACCAGTTTTAAGGTATTAACGTAAAGCGTGGATTCTTGTAGGCAGAACTCAACAAGGAACGCTAGCTGGCTGGGGCTTTAGATTTGATATATCTCGATGATTTGGAGTATTTCCTTGAATTTTGCAATAACTGCCGAAAGGACACTAATGGTTCAAGCGCCACACAACCACGAAGCAACTGAGAGTGGCCGCTTTATGCCAGTCGTCTAGACCACCCACCTGCGTTTTCATCATCTATAGAAAGGTAATGGATTACAAGGTAATGTAATCTCTGGCCAGACTCACCTCGAGCAGCATCGCCTCAAAGTGCTTGCTCTTGCGGTTGATGTTGCGGAACGTGAGGAAGTTGAGTACGCAGAGTAGGGAGAAGGGCAAGAAGACGCTCAGCACGTTCCGCCCGTGGAACATCCACCATCGATAGTAGAAGCTTCTGCGATTTTTATGCTTGATGCTTCAACTGGTCTTTTTGATACGCAACCGGATTCCGTACCCAGACAGTGTTTTGGAATAGGTTGGCCGAGACCAGGTGCTTTAGACTACGGTAAAACTCAATGGGGGTTTCTTGGAAACTGGCCAAGAAGCGATCATGAGTTATCTAGCGCAAACAAGCTGAACTTCCGGACTTACTCGTGGCTGGCCAATGTACTCTGCTGAATGTGCCAATCGGAGAACGGGTCACAGTGGGGCTCGTGCTTCAGGGTGAGCTCGGCGAAAACGGTGCCCTAAATAGGTCGATTCTAGCTGCAGAAACACCACCTACCTTCACGATAAATGCGTATAGAATTACGCAAAAGATGAGCTGCCCCCGGGTTGTCGGGTCGAAGCCGGGTGTTTTCGACGACGAGCACATGTAGCGCTCAAACGAGGCGAGCACGATCAGCACGGATGAGGCGAGGATGAGCACCTGGGAATGGGGAGGGTTTTAAAATTTAAACTTTTAAACGTTAAGAATTTTACCATTTTCTTTTTAACGTTACAAATTCAAAAAATCTCCAACCCACCTGCCCGATCGTCGAGACGGCGCGCAGATAGTTGTGCCACGCCACGTAGAGCTCATAGTTTTCAAAGTACTCGTAGTAGCTGGATAGCGAGAAGATGAGCTGGAACCCGGGGTTACGGTATCAGGGGCGAGTTTTGGAGTAAATTCCTCAAATTCAAAAACTTACGATGAAACAGCTCTCGACCACTATGTCGAAAAAGGCCAATATGTACAGGTAGAGATAGTTGGTGTTACGAAACGACAGCCGCGAGAAGAGCAGCAGCAGTATGGTGTTCAGGCAGATTCCTGCAATTTTTTCTGTTCGTATGTGGATTCACAGAAATACGAACCCGTAATGCCGATCACGCTGCCCACACCGAAATTGAGCACCATCCGGACGGTGTCTAGAATTGGGAGCTTGGTAGCATGTTATTGTGATCCCTAAAAAGCACCCAAAAGCACCGTACCCGTCGTCGACTCCTCGTGGTAGCATTCGTCAGTGGTCACCGTCAGCGATTCGGCTGACGTTGAAGCCTCGGGCAACAATTCAAAGTGAATCGTATCCATTTTATCGCGAGTTTACTGCATTCGCTAAAAGAGCTACTTAAAAATCGTCACTTTCAAGGAAACATCGAAAACTTGAAAAAGCTTACAAGGGAAAGACAAGGAGAGAAGGCGAATTAGGAATTTGGGGGACCTTTCGCATTATCGGGGGTGGGATTTTTTTAGTAGCCTTTTTCCTAATATAAAGAGAGGAAGCATCATACACTGTTTTAATGCTCTTCCTAAACGCAAAATCTTTCAAAAATGTTATTAAAATACAAAAACATAACTTTTCGATGAAAAATGGCAACTTTCTGATTAAAAAAATTTGTTTGAGTTTTCAGGTCGCTTTTCCCTTAAAAATATAGTTAACTTTTATTAAATAAATTATTTTAGTAAGTTTAGCCCCCCCCCCCCCCGATACTACAAAAGTTCCCGGCGAGATTCGCGAGATTCCAAGTTAGATCGATGGGCCCGCGGAAAGTTCCAGGGCTGCCTCCAATTTAACGAAACCTCGGCTACAGTCCCAGAAAAAGCTCGGCGCACGGGATTTTCGCTTGAAGAAGCAGCTCCCCAGGGACCTTCGCGATCAATGAAACTGTTTTTGAGCCAATTTCTATTAGCTACTAATGCCGGGAGGGGGGTCTGGAAATGCATCTGTCTTTTGGGTGAAGCGGGTGGAGGGATGGCAGGTGAAAAGTTGATATTTCTGCCGGTCGGTACCAAAATCCTTCTGCCGCCCACAAGTTTTTAAAAAGGTAGGGCTTACTGGGGTTGGTCAGCCGAAAGCTGACCTGTTAAGCAAGGTGAAGCTGGGAGCTGGAAGGAGCAGAAACCGTCGTTAAAACTTGAAAACGAGCGCCGGAAAAGCACCGCAAAAAAAGGGAAAGCTTAACAAGGGAGGCAATGGGCCTAAATACACTCTACCAGTGCCATTTTTAGGAAATAATCTAATTTGCAGCCCGCCCCAGTGGCCAAGCGACCCCGGGGCGATTGGCCGGAAGCGGAGAAGGCGGTACTGGACTGTTAACGGGGGGGTGTAATCTTTCTTCTTTTTCCCTATGCTTCTCTTTTAAGCCTATACAACGTATTTTATTGTATTATTAGCAGTTTTTGATCGCTAGAAAGTTATAAAAATGTTTTTTGAATTTTTCTCCTTTTTATGTCTAAAAACATTGTCAACTGCCATAAAAATGGTCTATATTTCGTTCTAGGTTTTTTGGCGACGAAACTGTAGGAGAGAAATTTGCCTGCCTCCCCCCCCCCTCTAACAGTCCAGTACCGAAAAAGCGGGATTGCTAAAATTCTCATCTCAATTCCAAAAATATCAAGATGCCAGTTAGAAGCAAAAATGCACCGAAAACAAGGAACCCGCGCGCCTAAATTCCACGAAAAAAAAGGAAGAAAGCAGCACGGCGGGCCGGCTGGAAAATGGGGCTCTTCCGGTGCGAATCCCATAACTCTTTCTAGGGACCCTTGCCGGAGCCCGGCGCCTCTAACCCGATTGTGTTTATAAATTCGGGGGGTGGAACCCGAAAAATAAATTGGCTAGGCGGGCCGCCAATTGCGTTGTCGAGCAGGAGCCGGCCGGGAGGCAATTCGCTGGGCGGTGAACGGCTTTTCGGTTCGAAAGATGCTGCTCAACAATACGAAGGAGCGTTGGGCAGGTACCGTATACTTTACGTGAAAAATGAAAGAAAAGAAAATATTGGCTAAAAAGCAGGGTTCTTTCGCGTAATCGAGGCGGATAATTTTTCCTATCATTCCAGAAATGTCTAGTAAGTGTGGTTTTGGTAGAATTTTCAATTGAAAAACAATCGAAAAATAGACAACTTTTTAGCCTTTTTTTTATAAAAAATTCGTAAGCATACGTATCCGATACCGTAGCTAAAAAGGAGATATCGGCTAAAAACTGGCTCGAAAACCTTTAAATCATTTTGTAATAACAAAACGGAAAAAATATGGAAACGGAACGGAAAACATAAAATTGGCAAAAAAACCCAATTTTTGAAAAAAGAAACCCCTAAATTGCCCTTTAGTATTTAGCGCGCATCTTGATAAACAGGACCGCCCTCCAATAGGGCCCTTGCTTACCAGCGCGTATTTTCGGGGTTAGTCGAGTAATTGTTTATAGCGAATCCTGCCGATTTGTGGGTCGACGATTGTCACGTTTAAATATAAAATGGGTGTCTTACGTACGTGTGCGGAGTCAAAAGGCGGAATGGCCAAAGTATGCATTTGGGTCTCAGTAGTCGGGTTAAAGGGTGGTGTTTCGTTAGCGGGGGGCGGTACTTTAACTTTTCTGGGGGAGAAACTAAATGTTTCCTATATTCCCGTAGGCCCCGAATAATAAAATATAAACTATTTTTCTAGAATTTTACACATTTTTTAATCTAAAATGGTCACAGAACTTGCTATAATCAAAAAAGAAGTGGCCAAAAAGTTTTATATTCGTTTTTAATCCTTTCTAGTATCCAGAAGATAAAATGTTGTGAAATAGCCCATATTTTATTAATATAAAGACAGAAAAAAGGAAGCCAGTTTCCTGCTTCCTAAAACCACCCCCCGCTGATACACCAGCAACGATTAAGAATCTTATTGAGACTTAAGAAAATACGACAGAAAAAAAAATGCTGGACACGACGAGGACATCATTTATAGGGTGGGGGATGCCATTTGAGTCAGGGGGTGTCGAGTATGTGGCCGGAATGTGTAGAGGATAAGTAAGCGCCTTCTGAAACAGGGCCCCCGGGGATTCTCCCCCTTGAGGCTTCTCCGGTCGACAAATCGCCCCCAAAAACGATACGGGCTCAACACGGCTGCTTTCAGGGAGAACAGCACGTGAGTTTTTTTTCTTAGCCCCCCCCCCCGCTATTGCCAAAGAATCTTACAAGGAAACGCTAAATTGAAAATCGCAACCCGGAAACGAGGCGCCGGCCGGCGCACAAAACAACAGCGTAATAATGGAATCATGCGTAGCGAAACGCAGGGCCCTAAATGACGCGTCAACACTGTGCTTCCATTACCTCATATCTCCAGTTCCAGCCCCTTAATGAATTTTCAAATAGAATTTTAGCGTCATTTAACTTTTCCTATTTTCTAACGCTAATCCACCGCTTTCAATTTGAAGCGCTAAAGTATAACATAAGTCTGCCCTTTGATAAACTCCACATTTACCCCAAAAATAGACAACTTCTCAACGTCTGGTCCCCGCTCCCTAGAAAACAGAGGCCTCATTTTGCAAGTAAACATCGTGCTCCTTATTTGGATATCCAGTGACCCGGCTACCGTAGCTGAAAGAGGACCTCAAAAATAACAACAAAGCGCCCAAAGCCCAAGGTTTGGCCACAATTTGAGCCGGCCTGCAATTTCGCGGCCATGATTTCGGTTTCCGGCCGAGGGTTAGTTCCGGGAATTCCCGCGATTGTTCGCCCAGAGAGGACAACTGGGTGAACATGACGGCACACACAAAAAAAAACGAGAGTAGAAATTGACGGTGGGAACGGAGTCTTGTCTGGGCGGCCAAAATGCCTGGAAACCGATGGGAAACGCTTAAAAGGTGCTCGGACTGGAATTAGCGAAAAATGGAGCTACGTAAAAGTTAGAAATTAGCGCTGCTTGCAGGTCAAAAACCGTCAAAAGTATAAAAAAATCGATAAAATTTAAAGACTTAGCCGTTGATTGACTGTGACGTCGCCCATAGCTCGACTACGCTGGGCTACACCTGACATTCTGACAAGCAAAGCGTGTTGCAGACTCTCAATTCTACGAAACGATAAACTGTAAAGTGCGCAGGCTGTCGAACTGTTCAAAGGAGTCCAGTGTATTTCAGCTGTCCTTAATTTTGGGCCTAAAAGAAAAGCTAGGACAGCATTCGGGGTTTTTCAGGGCGTCTTTTTACTATGTCCAGAAATTCCTGTTGGTAAAATTTAACTATATTTCAAGTAGAAAAATCATTAAAAAAATTTTTTTTGGTCGGAAATCGCTCAAATTTTTTGACTAATTTTTTCGTATTACGTACGTTTTTTTTATTTATTACGTTTTTTCGTATTACGTAATTTTTCGTAATTTTCCATAAAACGTGGTAAATTTTTGACTTTTAGGACTAGCAAAAAAAAGTTTAGAAACACCTGCTAGATTTATATTAGAAAAATTGGATCCATAAGGGAATAAAGAAGACAAAATTAAAGAAAAAAGGGGAAAAGGGCGAAAAATAATCAAATAGCCAATCTGGTTCGCGATGGGCGGAATAGTTCTGGGTGTATTTTACTAATATATTAGTCATTCTATAATGCATACGAGCACCATCATCATCTATCGGAATGCATTGGCCATCGGGGGTCATCCATCCACTTGTCCACCCTTCGGAAATGGCCCATCCACACGGAAGATGGGCCTCAAGGTGTATGGAGAAGGGGAGGGCCCCGCCAATTTCCCCATCGAAAAATATAGGTAGACCCCCGGCGGGTAGAAGACACACACAACACACCTCTCAACACGGATATGACAAGCACAATCCAGGGCTTGCATTTATTTCCGCCTGGCAGGAATCTCTAGAATCTTGCCGTTCAATCGGATAATGCAGGGCCGAAAAAAATGTATGAAAAAACACCTTAAAATTTGCCTTAAAATTGAAACATTCTAGAACAAACGCCGAAATAAACGAAGGAAAGCCGAAAAGATCGCGAGTACGAGGCGTTACTCAACACACTTTACTCTATGCGCTCGTCGCATGAAGATTCCAGCTCGATTTTGGCGCGCGGGTGTCCCTTTAATAATGATGTTTTCAAATGGTTTTCTGAAAAGAAGCATTTGGGAACTTGGCAAGGAATTTTAAAACTCGGAACATTGTTCTTTAGTATTTCTAAACGTAAAACCTTACTAACCGTCATTAAAAAATACAAAAATATCGATTTTTGTGGCCGATTTTCAACAAAGGGTTTTCGGTACAATACAAAAATAAAAAACTTTTTTTTTCCGTTTTTGATTGTTTTTCCACTTAAAATATTGTCAAATTCTACTAA